AAGCTACGTCGACTATGATTTTAGCAAGATGACCGACACAAAGGGTGGGTTTTTGACACAGGAGGATGACCCGTTCAATAAACAACTACACGTGCCGGATGGGAAAGAACAAAAGCCAGCACATATGACGCAGAAGGAATGGGAACGCGATCAGATACTCCGGTCACTGAAGCGAAATCGGGAGGGACCCTTTGAACCAGGTCTCAGTGTCCTAGATGATAAAAGCAAGCAGAAGACATGTCGTGAATGTGGCAGTATCGAAATTGATTGGAAATGGGAAGAGGAACTTAAATGCTGCATCTGCCATACTTGCAAGGAGAAGCACCCAGAGAAATACAGTTTGTTGACCAAGACGGAAGCCAAAGAAGACTATCTCTTGACAGATCGTGAGTGCCTAATTGGTCACCTATGAAAAGAGAGATGTGCTAATCAGCCCGCGCACAGCTGAACTCCGAGACGAAGAGCTTCTTCCACGCCTCGAGCGTCCGAATCCACACAAATCTACATGGAACAGCATGATGTTGTATCTACGATACCAGGTCGAAGAATATGCGTTTTCCGACAAGAAATGGGGCTCAACGGAGGCGCTGGATGCCGAGTTTGAACGGCGAGAAAATGATAAGAAACGGCGACGGGAGGCCAAATTCAAAACGAAGCTGCAGGAGCTGAAGAAACGCACACGTGTGGAGGCCTACCGGCGCAATCGACAAGGTGCTTCAGGCGGAGAGTTTGGCGATGATCTCGGTTCTGGACGGAAGCATGTTCATCAATGGGGCCGATCCATCGAGAATCCAGAAACTGGAATTGGGGTCAAGACGTGTGTAGAATGTGGGATGGAGGTGGAAGAGCTCGAGTTTTAGACGACCAAAATACCATAGCATGATTGATTATTGTATGAGACCACGATTTAATTTAGCGCTTGAACCTATTTGTGACTTCCATTATTCTTGTGTTGTTGAAGTATAAAATGTCATGTATACACCAGAGCAGCCAAAATATATAGTTCCAATTCGGCGATGACAAGAGCAAATTAGCAATCAAACTCGACACCAGCGATCCTAGGTCAATCTTTCATACCCATTAAACAATAGCAACATTCGAATCTGCGGTGCATCTATGCTGTGGAGTATATACTTGCGCGTTGTACAATGGGTCATATAGTTGGCGCCTGGAAATCAAGGCGTTCATCATCCTCTCAACCTCGCTAGTTGGCCTGTCATGATCCCTGCGGAACTTGTCGAATTGGCGATCAAATAAGAAACTCCTTTTATATTCACCTTTAATACAAAGACCCTCCCAATTCATCCAATTGCTTACTCCAGGGCTGGAGGTAACGTGCAGGTCAACCTTCTCCATCTAGAAGGCGGTCAGCACCCCCCGAGGCCATCTTCACCATAACAAAAGATCAGTGAAGGCACATTCTCATCCTCATAACTTTCCTATCATTGCTCAACCTTGCTCCTCTCCTTTGGATCTTCCTCCTTAGGACGCCTCATCCACAGGCTGACTCGGCGTGGAACGTGGTTCCTTGCCGTCGCCATCAAGGGACTTGGTTCGCTTACTGCGGATACGATTTACCGGGGTCAGGAGAAATCGAAGCTCGCACCTCACACGTCACTCGGCCTGATTTTCCCATTGGTACCTCCTGCAGTGCTTTGACCCTTCCGAGACTCGACCCGTCCTGTGTTTGTTCATGTCCTGGCAATCTCCATCAGCTATGGCTGGGATCGGAGGAATGCCCGGCGCCATGGATGGTTCGAATGGCCCACAAGGGACGGAATACACATTACAGGGTGAGCATGAACCGACTCGATTTCTTGAATGCCATTGACTAATATTCATCTCTAGGTGTAATGCGCTTCCTACAGACAGAATGGCACCGACACGAGCGTGACCGCAATGCGTGGGAGATCGAACGGGCGGAGATGAAGTCTCGCATTGGTCGATTGGAAGGTGACCTGCGCACAAGCAAGCGCTTGCATGAGGCCCTTGGGAAGCATGTTCGTATGATGGAGACCGCCCTGAAGAGGGAGAGGGAGAAGGTCAAGAAACTTTCGAACAACGAAAAGTATCAAGACGCTAAGGATCCCAAAGATGCTGCACGTGAAAGTGTCAACTTCCTGAAAGGTATGTGCCTCGCAATTGTATGCTAGCACGCTCGGTGAGATTTACTAACTGAGTTATTCACCAGCGCATCGCCCCAAGCCGAGCACGGACCCCAATAATGACGAAGAGCGCGACAACGAAAATCAGCATGAGGGTCAAATCGAGGACATAGACAAAGTCCGGGGATATCTGTCCAAAGCTTCCCACGAAATCGCGTACCATGTTATACCCGCCTCCCACCCGCCACCTGACCTGAACGACTCCGATATGTCAGGCCAGCTCTATGGCAATTCCCAGCTGTCGCAACAGAACCTGGAAGAGGCTTATCTTCAGCAGCAACGTCAGAAGGCAAATCACGTTATGGCACGTGAAATGGCCTTACAGAACCACCAACCAATGTCCAATCACTACTCCGACAATGCCATGGCTCGTGCTCAAAACCAGTATCTTCCTCGGGATGCCATGGATCGACGGTCAATGGACCCGCAGCAAGCCCCCGGCACAGCAATTGAAAGTCGAACCCAAGTATACGAACAGGGTATAGTACACGATCGCCCAAACCAGGCACACGAGACCCAGGGCCCTCGAGTGATCGTCAAGGAGGATGTGAATTTGGAAAACTTGACCGAGGAAAGAACAGAGGATGTGGATGGGTGGAATTTTGACGAACCGGCGGAGCAAGAACTCGTGGCCACCGAAACCGTCCCGCCTCATCGCCCGGATACCGATGCTTTCCCAAATGCCAACTTTACGTACTCTGAGTCGACCAAGGACGGGTCTTTCCCTCACCGAACGAAGAGCACGGAATCAAGTCGTAAGAGCGATGGTGCAATTGATGCCCGGGAAGCGGGTACGACGTTCAAACAAAAGCAAGATTCCAACTTCGAAGTCCGGTTTGTGCTGCGCGGCCACTTAGATGTGATTCGATCTGTCATCTTCACTGGTGGTGGTAGCTCGGACGAACCCGAAATCTGCACCTGCAGCGACGATGGAACGATCAAACGATGGATCATCCCAGGTACTTCTGGTGGCTCTGGAGCCGGTTCTAGCCATAGCTCGGACATTACGAGTGACTTTACTCATCGCGGGCACGAAGGCGCTGTGACTTCTCTTGCCGCCTGCTCACCGTCCCAGAACATCTTCAATGGTGGCCCTGTTTTGGGTGATGGGTTGGTGTTTTCAGGTGGCCAAGATGCCAGTGTGCGTTTATGGGAACGTGGGCGGATTGATCCCAAGGCCACCTTCCACGAGCACAAAGATGCAGTCTGGGGACTCTGTGTCCTTCCCGGGACCATGGGCTCTGTTTTTGGCGACTCAAGTAGCCAATATGGTGGATCGGATCGCATCCTTCTGGCCTCCGGCGCAGCAGATGGCTACGTCTTGATTTGGGCTATCGGCGCAGCACCCTCGGCTGCAAACCGCCGTCAAGGCAGAAGGGAGCGGTCGAACTCAAATTCAATGCCCTCCGGTTCCAACTTCCCAACTTTGCCTCAGCCCAGTGTTGCTGCACCCCCAGCTTTCCATTACACTATTGTTCATCGCATCACCCGCCCTAATTCTCCTTCCCCCACATGCATTAGCCCCTTGTCTCTTGCAGGCGTCAATTTTGTCGTCTCTTACTCGAATGCCTCTATCATTGTCTACGACACGCGGACCGGCGAAGAAATTGCGGGTATGGCTAGTCTCGAGACATACGATGGCACGCCAGCTACTGGGGTGAACTCAGTCGTCGCCACGACTGTCGGCTTTGATGGAACAGTTAATCTCGATCCCAACCGCGCGATGGCCGAAGAAGAAGAAGTTGTACACGGAGCTACTGGATCAAGCAGCGTAGAGGGTGTAATCATCAGTGGTTACGAGGACCGATACATCCGCTTCTTTGATGCCAATAGTGGTAAGTGGCATCCAAAGTGCGTTGATATTTCCCGCAATACGCTAATATTCGATACAGGTCAATGTACATACACAATGCTTGCTCACCCTGCTGCGATAGCCTCACTGTCATTATCTCCGGATGGACGTGAGCTCGTTTCGGCTGGTCACGATGCAAGCTTGCGATTCTGGAACCTCGAGAAGCGAAGCTGTACTCAAGAGTTGACAGGCTACCGGCTGATGCGTGGCGAAGGAGTCTGTTCTGTAGTATGGAGCCGTGATGGCCGCTGGGTCGTTGGCGGTGGTGGAGACGGCTTGGTCAAGGTCTGCTCTCGATGATTGAAACGACGGAATGAAAACCCGTGTATGATTCTTCTTGCGTTATACCTGTGTGTGTATCTCTTCGCGTTTGCTCGTCGTTTTCTGTATGATCCCATGAACTGGATGAGCGATTGGCCGGTCCAGTTATTTCGAGCATTTGCAACGGTGTTTACTGACGTTGTGTGGCCTCCCATACTCTCCTACTTGATTTTGCTTTTTTTCTCTTTTCTTTTTTCAACATGTGTACTTTTTACTTCGCTGATAACATGTTCGACAAAGATTCCCTGGCGTGCGTGGATGTTTTCTTCCCTTCAACTGTTTCGGTACATGCTCTATTCTCTATGGGAGCTAGATCCCACCTTGTTCGGATACTGTTCCATTTGCTCTTGTGATAGGGTCTTGATTGGGTTTGAAGGAGTGCCTGATAGGCTTTGAAATTATCCCAATACTTGACGTGTCGGTTGCTTGGTGTGGATGGCTTTTTTTCCCAGTTCTGCTTGAACGTGCCTATGTAATTTATGCCTCGGAAACCGATAGCTCATGTTGTGTGTATAGCATTTGAATCCATACCATTCATCGAGCAAACTCAGCCTGGTTACTCTGTAGACTATCATTGACACAAGACATGTGAAACGACTGGAACAAATACAGGTATCATTCGATATTGACATTATTTCGCTGCGCTGCCGTGAAGATATAATCTATTTGGTTGAGCTCCACGCCTCCTTGAACACCAATCTCAACCGTTTTGCTTCTTCCTCGTCCTTCAATCGCTGCTCGAGATAGCCTTGCAGGTCATCCCAGAAAGCCTCTGTATGCAACACCTCCTCACCACTCGGACCTATAGCAGCCTTGGGCGGTGATTCATCCCGCTTCTCTGTAATCTCTGGTTGAGCCATAGCAGATTCAACCACCTGCGCGCCACCGATGATCATCACCCCGATCTCGACCTCTTTGCCTCCCGCCATAATCGCAGGTTCATCTGCCAATACCTCGGCCAATGTCTTCCCGGTACCGGTCACTGGCTTGCGTTTGTATAAGATTTTGATCTTGTCTAGCGGAACTTGGCCTCCCTGAGCATCGGTGACGCGCACCTGCACAGCATCCCGGATGTCCTGGACCGAGGTGGTCGAGAGAGGGGCGTTGGAGATCAGGAATTCCAGAGCAGGGTTGCGGGCAGACTTGACGCGGACAGTGATTGATTTGGATGAGCCTGGTGCCTGTATTGACCTCACCTTTTTGGGCATTGGAGGATGCGGGGCTGAAAGGCGGGGGAGAGTGTACTATCGTTTTCACAGAGCATATTAGAATGATCTTCCTCAATGAGTCAAGCTAGGGAATGTTCGCATCAAGACTCACGGGCACTCGTAGTCCAATTTGCTCTGGATCGAAGACATAATCAGCGCGAAGCTTGATAGGTCGCGAGTCCAGCGTGGACAGAAATGATTTGGTAAAGGTCAGCTCCGACATGGTGAGAAATTTGGTAAAGATTCTCAAGGCAGAAAAAGAGAGAGAGAGAAAGCAAATCCGAGCTGATAGCTGTTGGAGTCCGGAGTAGTGGAGGTCTGGACCTGGGGGTTTCACTTGATGCCGGTGGGACAATAGACACCTGGATTATAAGGCATAGCTGTAAATAAGCACACCGCCTTTCATTACTTCTGTACTGCTGGCAGTCACCGCCCGAAGAAAAAAAAAAGACCGAAAGAAATTACAAGCTCCCCAGAAAGCAAACACTATTAACGTCCCCATACACACCTCTTTTTCACAATGGGTGTCGGTCGCCGTATGAAGAAGCAGGGCCCTCCGGGCCCGCTCGACGAGTCAAAAGTCACAATGCTCAAAAAACGCAAGGCTGGTTCGGCTGAAGCGCCTCCGAAGCCTGCACCAGCGAAGCGTCGCAGATCTAATGCCGATGAGACCGTCTCGAAGAAGGAAGCCTCGAAGAAGAAGAAGGTCAATGGTGCTTCTCCCAAGGTTGACTCAAAGGAACAGAAGAAGCAGCCGTCGGTCACGAAGAAGGCTGTGCCGGTGCCTATGTCTGATGATGATGATGATGAGGATATGGATGATGATGAGTTCGGTGATCTCGATGAGATCAGTGACGGCTCAATTGATAGCGACGATCAGGCTGAAGGACTGTCGGGTCTAGAGGATGATAACTCAGTTGTCGACTCTGACGAGGAAGGCCACACCCGTGGCGCCATGTTCTCCGACGACGAGGACTCCGATGCTGAAGAGAGATTGACCGCTGCAAACATCGAGGGTCTGTCGCGGAAGTTGGATGCTGAACAACAAGAGGAGGAGGAAGCTGCTGAGCAGGAAATGCAGGAAGCCGCCCTGCAGACTAACATCGCTGCACCCGATGTGTTCGCCGACCAAACCCAGCAGGGACTCGCCCCCGATCTGCAGCTGCTTCGCCAGCGCATCACAGACACCATCCGAATCCTGGGTGATCTGAAGACCCTCGGCTTGCCCGGTAGGTCGCGTACCGATTATATAGATCTCCTACTCGACGATATCTGCACATACTACGGCTACACTCGATTCCTGGCAGAGAAGCTGTTCAACCTGTTCACTCCCAGGGAGGCCTTTGCCTTCTTCGAGGCTAACGAGACTCCTCGCCCTGTGGTTATCCGTACCAACACTCTGCGCACCAATCGCCGATCCCTCGCCCAGGCCCTCATCAATCGTGGTGTTGTCCTCGAGCCCGTTGGCAAATGGTCCAAGGTTGGCTTGCAGGTTTTCGAGTCTCCGGTCCCCCTGGGTGCTACCCCCGAGTACCTGGCCGGTCACTATATTCTCCAGGCTGCCTCTTCTTTCCTTCCCGTCATGGCTCTCGCCCCCCAGCCTAATGAGCGTGTCCTCGATATGGCCTCTGCCCCCGGTGGTAAGACAACCTACATGTCCGCCCTGATGCGCAACACTGGCTGCATCGTCGCAAATGATGCCAGCAAGCCCCGTGCTAAGGGTTTGATTGGTAACATTCACCGTCTTGGCTGCAAGAACACCATTGTGACGAACATGGATGCCCGCACTGCTTTCCCCAAGGCCATGGGTGGCTTCGATCGTGTTTTGCTCGATGCTCCCTGCACAGGTACCGGCGTTATCTCAAAGGATCCTAGTGTCAAGACGTCCAAGAACGAGCGTGATTTCCTCGCCATTCCCCACATGCAGCGCCAGCTTCTTTTGGCTGCAATTGATTCCGTCGACCACGCTTCCAAGACCGGTGGATACATTGTCTACTCTACTTGCAGTGTGACGGTCGAAGAGAACGAGGCCGTTGTGCAGTACGTTCTTCGCAAGCGTCCTAATGTCAAGATCGTGGACACCGGTCTCGGTGGCTTCGGTAGCCCTGGATTCCTGAGTTACATGGGCAAGACTTTCGATCCTAAGATGGCACTCACCCGTCGTTACTTCCCTCACCGCGAGAATGTTGACGGTTTCTATGTCTGCAAGCTCAAGAAGACTGCCGTGACTCCCGTGGCTAAGTCGGACGACACCGAACCCCGTTCTAAGGGCCCCAAGAAGACCCGTAGTACTTCCTCGAATGCCTCCACGGACGACGAGTCCATTGACCGGACCCCGATCGTTGATGAGAACGGACACGCCGCTGATTTCGAGGGTGGTGCCTTCAGCTCCTTCGAGGATCCCGAGGACGTCGAGCGCATTGCTCGCGCTGAGCGCAACCGTCTGCGTCGCAAGGGTCTCAATCCTAAGGGTATTCTGAACAAGCCCAAGAGGAGCAAGCCAGAGGTGTCGGAGAAGACAACCGAAACGGTGGCACCCATCCAGGAAGAAGAGACCAAGGCCATTGTCTCGAAGAAGACTACCAATGAGCCGAAGGGTGAGAAGAAGACCGTGGTTAAAGAAGATAAGAAACCCGTCACCAAGGCTAAGGAAGAGAAGAAGACCGCAGCCAAGGGCAAGGTCGAGAAGAAGGATAAGAAGTCGGGCAAGAAGGCCAGCAAATGATCAATGACTTGATCATTCGTCTCTTTGTGTATAATCTTCGTTTTTCGTTCTTCAGGCAAGTCAAAAGCATCATGTATTAGGTCCGGGACCCGGCGCATTGGATATACCTTTTGTTCAATCAAGATCAAAGTGTTTCAAAAAAATTAAAAAAATTAGGACAAAGAGTACAAAGAAATTTGATGTAAGATTGTACTAAATCAAAGATATTCAATTTATCCCAAGTCCTAGGTTTAATAACTGTTCTTGTCTATATAACCAAAATGAGAGTATAAAACCAATCGCATCACTCCCCGGCCAAATTACCGTTCGCTAAAATCAATGGATCCAAGTGCTCGACAATTTAAGAATAGCCCGTACCATTCTATGCCCGATAAATCTTGATCACCTTCTTGACCTCTTTGCGGCACATCGGACATAGGCTCACGAGGTTCGCACAAGCCACACAGGAACAAAGGTGTCCACACTCGGCGAAGACTGCATCCATTTCCTCGGTGTAACAGATTTGGCACAAATCCAACTCTTCGTCGGCCACTTCCCAGTAGCTGATGCCCTTGCCGTGGCGTTTGCCATCCTTGAAGCCGCCGACATACTTGTTGCCTGTCGTCTTCTCAACGTAAGTACCTTGCCCATGGCATACATCTTCGACCCAATCACCATCGTACGAATCGCCGGTGGGGTAAGTTAGCTTGCCTTGGCCGTGGCGTCGGCCGAGAACGAAGTCGCCTTCGTATATCATGCCTGTGTTGGAGATGTGCTTGCCTCTACCATGGTGATAACCTTTGAGGAAATGACCACTATAGTAGTCATTTGCGAAGGTGGCTTCGATAGTCTTAGTGCCGGTGAAACCTTGGATTGGATGACCGCGAGAATGGGCCCACAGGTACTGAACAAGACGGTCAGGACTGGTGAACAATCCCGATGAAGCTAGTTGAGTACGCCTTTGTTTGTGTTAGGACCAAAGAGCTAACCAGATATATGTGTACTTACTTCTCCTTATTTAACTTATCCCCGACGATGAAACATACCCCGTGCGGAGCTACTACATCATCGAAGCTGTCGGCAGGTGACACCGTGGTGACGGCAGCACCATCGAATCGTTTCCACACGAGGAAGTCTTGGCGAATAGGGCGTTGTAAGTGGCGTCGGATGGATGCTTTGACGTTGGCATCAAGCCTGGAGAAGAATGACCCCACGGTACGAAGCACTTGATTGTCGGCGTCGAATATTTGAATGAAGTAGTATGTATGGCCAACGGGTAACTTGACCTCAGATCGGGTCTGTGTTAGAGCTGCCACTTCTGGTGCAGAAGACTGAACTTCGGGAGGTGAAATAGTAGCGGAGCTTGTGGCATCTGTTAACGGAGTTACCGTAACAGCAGCCGTGGCTTGTTGATCATGGGCAGCGACAGCAGCTAGGACCACTTCTTGTTCTGCTCTTTCAGTGGCAAAGGAGTCGTTCTCTAGAGACAGTGTGGCTAATGGAGGCAGTGATCCATCATCGATGATAGAGTTCACGGTACCTGACGCAGCAGAACCCTCATGGGGAGTATTCCCAGATGAGCTAGCCACGGCATCTCCTTCGGCCACAGGTGACAAATTTTCAGAAGCTTCGTGTATCGAATTCTCGATGACTCGGTCATTCGGCTTATCCCCCGAAGAGATAACCGCAGGGGGGTCTGGGATGGCGAAGAATTGAGCGTCCTCTGTTGGAAATTAGCGGGGTGATGGTTAAAAATAAAGGTGAATGCAATAACGTACCCTCCGAGATGATTTCCATCCAAAATCGTATGGTGCTCAATGAAGAATCTAGAGGAGCATTCAAATCCGTAGTGCGATCAAATGCTAGCGAGGATCCAGATTGAGCAAAGGAGTTACCAATCTGCCAGAAACGAACCCGCTCGGGACCAATGGGTTCAGAGCCTGAGGACTTCCATATAGCAATTCTTTTTCGTAGTTCTACCAAGCGTGATGAGCGTGGCAAAGTCATGTACATGACACTGTTTGCCGCTTTGGTCTGTGCCATGAGATCGTAGGAATCAAACAAGCTGGTCAGCTGGTCATATTGGGGAAGCGCATAAACCTCAACTTGAACATCATCCGCAGACTTGTCACCAGTGTGGTACACTCCCGTTTCATAGTATTGTTTCAAGGTCTCAGAAACTTCCCAAGGCCCTTGGGGACCAGGCAAAAGCTCCGATACCATATCGCTGCGAATGTACATTGCGACGACAGGTACGTCAGGGCCCTTCTTGTAAATCACAGCCTGGGAAGGATCAAGACCAAGGTGTGGACCCATGGCTGTTTTCTGAGTCAGGCACTCCACGCGGTTGTCACTGCCATCGTCAAAAGCCAGCCATGTGGTACCCGGACCGGCTGGGCGAAGGATGCTAAAGAACTTGCCTGAGGTCCGGCGGCCACGATGAACAACATAGCCATAAATGACATACTTGCTACACTGGCCATCAATCACCCACGGAGCCAGGTCCAGCTCCTCGTCTAACTCCACTTTGTCATACCGCAGCTGCCAACGTTTGGTCTTGTCTAGACTATGGCGGCCAAACTCAACATGAAGAAATGATGGAAGCGACCAACGACCGGGCTTAGCACTCAAGTATCCCCTAACGGCTTCGGAAGTAGACTTGGCTTGATCAATTGGCATGTAAAGACGCGAGTTGAAACCAGTCGGCAGCATGTTTACAGTGACTTCGCCATCAGAAGATGGAGCATGTACAACCGGACTGTCGAAGATATGAGCGAGTTGTTTGCTGGCCTCCGTTCCCTTCAGCTCTAGCTCCAAGTTGCGACGCAGGCGCTCCCAAAATTCGGACACATCGCTCGAAAATTCGTGCAGATTGCGCAAAGTGCTAGTCACGCCGTCCGTATCGACATAGCTCCGAGGGTGTGTCTGGCGGCGAAGCTGCCACATCAGCCTTTGAAGGGCCTCGCATAGAGGCTTCGGTCTAGCATCAGCATTGGTAAGATGTTCAAGTACGTCAATATTTTGAATGATCTTGCAAAATGGAGCAATGTGCAACCACGAAGCAAGCCCGGCTACCTCTGGGCTATGATTGATGATTGAGTCACCCAGAGGGCGGTAACCGGTCAAGGCCATGCTATCCCAAGTTGGCTCGGAATCACTTGGATGCCACCAGAGGGACTTGGTGGGGTCGTTTATTACACGAATATACGCGTCAAATGAGAGAGTATCGTCGTTCAGGAGGGCACGATGTTGACCTCGCCGGCGTGAATGAATTTGGTCCCATGGGCCGTGGAAATATGTCCAACCCCAATCCAAGTTGTGGGTGTTGAATTGATGACAAGAAGACTGCATCCACCCAGTGCGTGGCTCTTGTGGGTTGTATACAATGACACCGACCTGTGCGGGGACACGCCAAGGGTCCGAGGTTCCATGATCAGATGGGGGAGTGTTCCTGGCCGCAGGATATTGAGACTTGTAGTTTTCCAACCACGCTGCCGCATCGTCCGTGGCTGAAGTCTTTAATTGAATCTCGGGTGTACTATCATCTAGTGAGGAATCGGCTGCTCCTTGACGGACCGTAAATTCCATCTCAGGAAGCTTGCCCTCTGCGGCGGGCATGGTGGTAGAGCATTCGAGATATACACTCAATGCATTGACATTGTTCCCCCGAGGATAGAACTTGATTCGCCACCAATAACCCCCAACGAATGCTGGTGGAGAGCGAATTACTTTGTCACGATTGGGGTCTTCCGGGGTGCCTCGAACACCCTTGAGGGTCCATGTGAGACGGGCCTTTTCGGTGGGAATGTATTCTGGATCTCCCAAATCACGAAAAAAGTTGGTTTCCCAATATTTGTCTGTCAAGGGGTTAGCAAATACTGGATGCTTCGTGATCTTGCTTCTAAGGTTGACACCTACGATCACTGGCACTGTAATCCGAATCACCGCCTTCGATCTCTTTCATCTCGTCCTCGTCTGGGACCGTTGTGTCCTCCTCATACTCTGCCCAATATGCATGCTCCAGCTCTTGCGAGGGCAGGATTGGCGCGGGCTGAGGAGCTGAACGTGATGACCCGGGGGATCGGTTTGAGTCTGTATTCGGCGTTCTCACCACTCTGGGTAAGGGGTCCATGGCCTTCAATGAGGAAATACCCAATAGTTCCAATAGCTTCCGACGTGTTTCAATGAATATATAAGAGCGCAGGTATACTCCTGTATAACGATTGATAAGGGCTTATCGGATAAGAAGAAGGTTGCGGAGATGTCCACGGGTGGATAGAAGGGAGAGGAACGAGCGAAAACGAATGAACAAATTCTAGAATAGGGGGGAAGAAGAAGAGAAAGAAAAAAAGTGGAAGGAAGAAAAGGAAAAAGAAAGAAGATAAGAAAAAGAAACGAAAAAAAAAAACACGAGTCCGGGGGAAGTTGCCGAGTGGAGTCTTTTTGTATAAGACTGGATTGCCTAGGCTCACGGATGAAGATTTACATGTAGATAGGGTGCATAGATGCCCGTTGATATCAGCTGATATATACACCTACCGAGTAGATATAGTCTAACTTCAACCTTAGACAACTTGTCTATTATACAGCGTACCTAAGCCTAGCGGTGTGCCAATCCGATCCCCACTCAGGGGAGAATATCCTTATATGCCGAGTTTTGGAAGATTCGGTGGCGACTTGGCTTATCAAATTTCCCTTTCGCCACTGGGCCTTGCAATCCCTGGGTTATCTGAGCCACGCCACCTCGGAAAACTATTCACTTTTCAGGCACATCAGGCATATAAGTCATGTTGGGCCGATCAACGTACCTGTACTTGTACAATGAGCGGGGGCCAACCGTACCAATTGAAACGATCGCGTGATCAAAAGACCCTCGATTGACACAAAACGGACCACTTTTCGACGGTGAGTGACAACTGATTGATTGGCTCTTGGAAAAAGAACCATTTCTAGACCGCGGGTTCCCGCATTGCTTGGCAATAAGTCTTGTCGTACTGAGACTCGACGAGGGGTAAAAGTAAAATCAATTTTGTGTCGATTCAGCACGGGCAAATGAAGCAGCTACAATCATAGGGAATACCGCCGTGGCCTCAGCATAGACCTACAGATAATATGGAAGTCAGCTTGGCACCAAAAGAGATAGAACAAATAGATCAACCCACCTTGACAGACCTGGCATCCGTCTTGATCTTGCCCCAGCTCACCGCTTCATCCGGCCGCGCACCTGCATCGCTGCCATCGAACTCCTGCGCGGTATTTACATACACTGCGTGCTCGGCCCCGTTGCGCATCAGGCATGCATTGGCGATGTGGTGCTTGACCAACCCACCGCCCAAGATGATCATGCCGGCGCGTGTCGCTCGAACAGCCATGGTGTTGATACGGCGCACATCGTCTACAATATCCACCCGGAGTCGTTGTGGGGAAGACTTGAAGGTGTGAAAGTAAAGCATATCACCCAGAGATCCATCCGTCAGGGCCGGACAGAACACGGGAATTCCATTCCGGGCCGCCCAGTACAGAACTGAATCCTCGTGGTCGATCTCACGACCCAGTCGTTCGGTAATGCGGCTTGGCGTCCAGTGAAGCTCGTCTTCCTCGTCTCCAGTCTCCCGAGCCTTGATCTTTGCAGCCTCCTGTTCCTCCAACATCTTGTCCAAAATAGGTACCACCCAGTCCTCGAAAGCACAGTAGTTATTGTTGGGCACGAGGAGGTTGCCAATGCGGTTGAGGCCCTTGGCACGAAGGCCAGCACCGGGAGTCGAGAACGATCCAAGATATGTGGGGGCCAAGCATTTGATCAAATCCTCCTCCACACCCCCCGCAGTGGTCACAATGGCAGAGACATGGTTATGCTTCACTAAATAACGTAGGGTGTCTCGAAGACCGGACGAAATCAAGTTCGATGTATAGCCGAGGAAGATGGTGGTTTTGTTTCCCGTTTCGGGATCACGGAAGGCGCGCTGAGAAAGGGACCATCAGACTACTCTAATGATTTAAAAGATTCAAAGATTGCAATTAAGTTCATACCATTTCATTGATGATTTGAGCCGCCTCGGCCACCGCACTGCCCTGGAAACCGGTATGGGCCAGGCTGTCCACCATTTCTGCGACAGTGATATCCCTTCCTTGGAACTTATCAAAATCTACCCCGCTCACTATGTGAGATCCCTCTGGGACCGGTTGCGAGCTCTTGAGGACGGAGTCGGTCACCGAAGAGGGAACTATTGAAGGCTGCTGGACGCTCATATTTGCGATGGGATTGGAAGGAACGGGAAAGAAAAGAAAAGAGAAATTGACGTGAAAGGCGTTAAATCCGCTCAAAGTGGGTTATCAAGATGAGGAGTCAAAACAAAAAAGGAAGATCAGTTCGGAGTAGAAGGAGAGGGGCAGGTGATCTTTTTTTTCCGGCGGGGAACTTGCATCAGTCTAGGCCTGGATGCCTGGATGCCTTGGGGCCTCGATTCCTCAGGCATGTATCCATAATTAGTACCATTCTAGAATTGGAGACTTCAACCCTGGAGATAGGTTAGAATGAATAAAGAATCTCCTATAATATTGGCTTCATACTCTTCCAAGTGTCTCATTTCTACAAATCTTATCTCTTTCGACACTATACTGCTACATTCATACATGTATGTTGTGCTCTTAGACGCAACATTCAATGCAAATAGAGTTTAGGAGGCACATCCCCACCACACTAGCATCTAACCGGGTTAGTGCCGAGCCCCTTGAAGTCTCACGAACTCATATTCCAAACATATTCCAAACATATTCTTCCTCGACCTGCCTTCCTTTAATCCTCCCACATACTCCACAGAGTATACATTACTCTTTGATTGCATAACATCCGGCGCAAGGAGCTCGCATGATTTCGCCGATCTTGTAACGTGCTAGTGTTTCCTGTTTCAACGTTAAATCCCTTCGCTCGACGAATCTGTCAATCTGTCAAGTTGGACGCTTCATTTGCTCAATTCTCAAGACTCCAATCTAGCAATCGTGAAAGGAAAAGGAACAGTACGTGACATTGGATCTTTCCCTCCCAACTTGAAAAAAGACAACGCCTTACCCGATCGGGTATCCGTGCGCTTCAATTCTTCATATGGTCCGTGCATTCATCGTCACGTGCAGACCCTCCCGAGTGTCCGTTCTCCATCTTTGGGTATGTGATGGATTCCGCATTCCTACCGCCTTGGGCTGATTTGCACTGTACATTGAACGCGCTGGAGCGCTAACCAGTCTATAGCTTCATGATAGCATGACGCGATAATGTCCTCCCGATTTCCCCCATCGTCCGGGTTCAATCCCCGTGACCGTTCTCCGCAGCGATTTGGAGACCGTCGCCCGCCGGCTGGTCCTCGTGGTCCTGACGACGGGCCTGCACCATTTGGTAGAGATCCACCCCGTGGTCCTCGGGCTCTTGTTGATTCCCCTCGTGGTGGCCATTTTGGTGGTCGTGGTAGGGGTTATGGCCGTGGTGACTTTCGTGACCGTGACCGTGACCCACGAGACCGCGACCGAGATCGCGACTTTCGAGATAACCGCGATGGCCCGCCGTTTCGCCGAGATATGGACCGGGACTGGGTTCGCCGTGACCGCGATTTCGATCCCCGGGACAATCGGATTGGCTTTGGCCGAGGCCGCTCAAGATCACCGACGCGCGACTTTCGAGACATAAGGGAACCCCCGGGCCGCGATTTTGATCTGGTTCGGATACGACGCAACTCCAGGGACAGTATCATATCTGCATCTTCGGGGGGCCCAGAAGGTCCCCCTCCTAATATTGGCCATATGCACCGGGGAGGCATGCGAGGGCGTGGTCGCGGCGATTGGGAAGGAGGCCGAGGTCGTGGTCGTCCACCCTTCCTTGATGATCGTGATCTTTTCCGTCGCCGTAGTCGATCCCGTGAACCATGGCGTGGACGTGATCGGATGGTGGATCGCGATAGAGATCGAGACATGGAACGGGATCGTGCATTAGACCGCGATCGGGTAATGGACCGAGATCGGGACCGAGACCTTCCACGTCCGAGAGAGCGAGATCGAGAATTAGATCGCGATTTGGACCGTCGAGATCGCTTTGACCGTCGCGAAGATTGGGACAACCGACGACCTGATCGCGAGGACCGTGATCGCCCAGTGGACTTTTGGAAACGGGACCGTCCCCCAAGTCGTGCAGATAGTCGCGCAGCCAGCGGCTCAACTACATCCTCACATCCTCCTACAGCACCCGGCCCTGGACCTGGACCAGCCCTAGCAGATCGTCTGCCCGAGCATCCACAAGTGGATCATAGCCGGAAACCTTCGACCATTCTCAGCACTACGGCTCTGGAACCTACGCGAGATTCTGAGGGAAATGACCCTATCGCTGTTCGCACTAGTGGTACTCGACTAGATGCTGTTCGCCCTGATGTTATTCGCCCTGATGTTGTTCGACCTGATGCTGTTCGCCCTCATCCTCGGCCGGATGCTCCTCGATCGGATGCTGTTCGCTCTGACGGTATGAAAAACCCTGGACCAATCATTCGGAACTCACCACCCCCAGCCGCCCCCCAGGTGCCGGCCTTTGGCTCGGTGACTTCCCCAATCACGAATGCTTCCTCAAATAAAGTTTTTTCAGACCAACGCACGGCACCCAATTCTACTTTGCCCACAGAGAGAGACCGCTATGAAGTACCGCAAAGACAACCGGCCCAACCCCCTACAGGGCCCAAGGCAGAAAGGATCGAGAGCATACAGCCTCTTGAACCTCGCAGCCGCCCTGAAGGACCCCGTGAGACTGGCAAGCACCAAGTTGTGCCCCCTCGCCTCTCTAAACCGTCTATCAATTTCCCTGATGTATCACCACCCACCGCTCCAGCTGCCATGACTCGGCCAGATCCGGGGGTAGGGCCTAACGAAGGATTTGGGGCCGGAAGGTCGAACTCACTTACCTCTTCCCCCACTTTTGCACGAATTCCACCGCCTGCCCCACGCGCATTATCCCGTGAACCCTCTATGTCCCCTCGAATGCAATCGTCTGGCATTCCAACCGGCCCTCGAGCATTTCAATGGAAGGCTCCCTCCCCGCGTGGCCGTAAAGGCAGCAAACAGTGGGTGCGACCGGGCTACGGCCGAATACCCTCTATTCCTAATGCACTGCCGAAGCAAGAGCCTGTTGAAGAGAGCGAAGGTGTTTCCCCTGCCAGTGAAGCCACACGGCCTCTATTAGCACCTGAGATAGACGACCCCGAGAGTGGCGAGATTCTTCCCCATGAACCTGCGAGAGAACCCTCGCCTGTTTCCCCGTCATTGAACCTCCCACCCCGGCGTAGTTTATCGGCTGTTGACATTCAAACAAGTGATGCAAATGAACCTTCTGAGAAGAGCGGCACTGATAAACCCGCCTTGATCCCAGACTTTGAAGGTTCAAGTGATGAGGAAGATGGGGAGAACATTGTTTTCACCCAGGAATATCTTGATGACAGGAAGCGGATATTTGAAAAGGATATGGAGTCACTGCGAGCAGAATTGCCTCCATCACCTTTGGAAGATTCGGCCATTGTGGCTCTTTTGTTAAAAATCCAGCTACTTGGCATGGTAGCCAACGAAAAGACAGTTGAAAATCCCCCCGAACCACTCGCCGAACCACCCACCGAACGAGTATTAGAACAACCAGTGGATCCTGTGCCTTCAGTAGAGGATGAAGAGCCAGCCGACCATTCAACCACTGAGCGAGTGGTCTCTTTTCCCTCCACACTACCCGAGCGCGAACCAGAGCCAATTACTGAAACTATCATCCCCCCCATGGTGCCACCTGATGAGGTTACTATCGAGAGTCTTCCATTCTTGCACTCAGGCCCTCCAATACCTATTTCAGATATGGATGTATACCATGAGAACATTGCGATCCAAAATCGTCTCAGAGACACGTTCAGCACAGAACTTTCGAAGGTGCAAGCGAGAACTTTCAGAAAAAATGCACTCCTCAGGGACGAGTATGTGTCTCACTACAAGCTCTGGCGAATGGCTATTTGGGAGCTCGATCGTATGAAGGAGAAGAAGTCCGTGACTCCTGGTCCAGCCTTCTCCCCAATATCCACGGTTCCAACTACCCCGGCGCCCATGCCGGAAGGCCGTGAAGGCCGTCGTTACAAAGGAAATAGCGAGCTTGATTTTCTCAATGCTTTGAAGGCCTCCGAAATCTCCGCCCAAGAAGAGCTTGAACGTCGACGAATCAAGATGGCCACTGCTCGGCCCGATCTGGGCCGTGAAGCGATCATTCCGAATATGCTCGAACCGCGGGAGGTAAAGGCCCGCATCTACAAAGATGTGAACAACAACATTGAGTGTAATATGGCTCTGGATGTTTTCGGTTTCGTGCCGCCTCCTAATGATTTCACCCCGGAGGAGCATATAATCTTTACGGACGCCTTCATGGCTCATCCAAAACAGTGGGGCAAGATTGCCGAATCTTTGCCCGGTCGAAATTTCCAGCAGTGTATTGTACACTATTATCTCACCAAGGAAGAGATTAAGTACAAGGCCAAGCTCAGCAAACGCTGGAATAAGCGGAGCAAGGGGACTCGAAAGGGTCCACGACCGAAGTCAAATGCCCTCACCGCAGACATGGGGGTGGTGAAACCTGATCATGTTGGTGAGGAGGAGCCACCCGCTGTCACAGACACCGGTCGTCCACGACGTGCGGCCGCGCCCACCTTTGGCGATTCCACCGAGGTAGAGAGCACGCCGATTGGCCGTCGGGGCCAGCTTGGCAAGGACGGCGAACCAGTGGATAGACCTTCGACTCGGCGTGGCGGACGGGGCGGAGGTACTCGCGGTGCACGGCGCGTGAAGACCACTACTCAACCAGATCCGAAGGCCCATGTGGTAATGCCACAGGGCAATCTGCCCCCGATTGTACCGCCAGCACCACTTCATCCTGGAAGCGAAATGGATTTGGCCTCGGATCACATATTGGAAGGATATGAAGCCCGCGAACGAGAGCGTTCCGAAAAAGAATCCATACCGCCAATTCCTCGAGGCAGGGTGGGACGCGGGCGAGCGAAGGAAGGAGTTTATGTCTTCGAGTCTACTGAAGTTGAACCGTTTCTGGGAACTAAACAGCTTGAGACGGGATATGGATCCTTGCAACCAACGAGTTACTGGTCTGTACCGGAGCAGCGCGATTTCCCAGCGTTGCTGGGACATTTTGGTCGTGATTTCGAGGGTATTTCGGGTTGGATGAAGACCAAGACAACGGTGATGGTATGTATTGGGTACCGAGTCCCAATTTTTGTTTTTCTTCTTTCCCCTAATGTCTTATGTTTGTGTTTGTCGACTAGCCGGCTAATGTGCATGACGCAGGTGAAAAATTTCTATCAACGCCGCCTGGACTCGGGCCAGAAAGACTTTGAGTTGATTCTAACGGACGCCGAGGAGAAGAAGGCTCGCGGTGAGGCCACAGGGCCGCTTCCTGTCCCAAGTGTTGCGCCAAAGCGACGATACGAGGCAACTCCGTCTTCTATTATCCCTCGTCCACTTGCCCCTCATGGGGATCCTATGGCCGAGGTCGATGAAATACGATTCCCTAAAGGCAAGCCTGTTGGCCTCTCACCGCAACCCATGTCGCTGCATGGACGACCTCTGTCCGACAAGGACCGGAATGTCGGTCGCTACCAGCCACTGGCACAAGCTTCCGCTGCTTCACCTGTGCCGTCTACCGCAACTCTAATTGAAGAGTCGACTCGGGCAATTCGCGCGCAAGGAGGTCCATCTCACCGCGTTCAGGGCCCACGCCTTGGATATTTCACAGAGGATAGACGAGACTCTTCGGGATTGCCCCATGGCGCGTCTCGTGCGCAAGAACTAGCGATTTCCTCGCGCCATCCTGACTCCATGCCGACGGATATGGCAAGAATGGAACCCTTGTCCACACAGGGCTATATGCCCGCGCAGCAGCCAACTTCTCACCTTTCATCAACCCACTCACGTCACGCCAGCTTAACACAAACCCCCGGCTCGCCATCCCTGCAGCTTAGACCCGAACTCGATATCTCGTCTGTTCACCGCGATCCTTTTGCCCAAAGACCTTACTACTCGCTTGCAGGTCAGCCCATGGGTCTACCACAGTCGCCTCGTCCTGGGTTGTCGCCAGTGAAGGATGTCCCTCGCCCGAGTGCGACTCCCGCTCCCGACGCAACTCGTCAGGTGCCTGCAAAGCGGTCTAACATCATGAGCATTCTCAACGATGAGCCCGAAGAGCCCCAGCCGCGCAAACGATTTGCCAGTGAGCAGGCTCCATCTGTCCCTGGCGCAACCTCAGGCATAAACCCAAGGCCCATATACCAGGCTAGCGGACCCCCTCGCCATGAAGACACTATTATGTCAGGCATGTCGCAAAAGCCTTCTGGTTACGCCCAGCAAAGCCAATATCAGCCGTCATCTCGCGGCTACTCAGAGTACTCTGGCTATGGTCCCCCTCATGGTGGCTCGGGCACATCAAATAATGACTGGATGGCACGGTTTGATCCACGGGCGCAACAGACTCCGCCACAGCCTCAAGCTCCATCACTGCCACCACAGCAGCAGCAAAGCGGCCGTCAGGGTTCGTATTCATCTTACGCGGCAAATCCAGGCCAATCCTCCTTGACGAATCTTTCCGCGCCATCCCCAGCGCCGACTCCGCCGCCAATAAATGCCTCTCAACGATCGGCTTATCCCAACGTTTTCTCCCAAGGCTCCTCTGCTCAACCACCCATGGCCTCTGGCCCCCGAGATATGGCCTCGCAACCGGGTTCCTATCGACAAGGGTCACCTGGCCCGCGTTCCGGTATGGTGTATGGCTCGCGACAAGATCCACCAACGCCAGCGCAGTCTTCGGCTAGCCTGTATGGTATGCATCCGCGGCAGTCAGCAACGCCAAATCCAGTACAGCCACACAGTTATCAACAACATGTGCAAACAATGGTCAGTGGATCGCATCAGCCGCAATCCCACCGCTCAACACCTGTCAACTTACCAGGTGCTTCTTCGCAGTACGGGCACAACACCCCTCCTCCCCAGTCCCAGGCTGGCCGGTCAATGGCATCGCTGGCGAGCCTCGGTCGCTCATACACCCCTCCATCGGCTCTACATTCCTCGATGAGCGGGGGCACTATGGGCAGCTATGCCCCCCCCTCAGTCATCTGCGCCTGGATCGATACCGCCACTCCACCAACGACCTCCAGGATCGCTTGGTGACCCTGTATCCACCCCAACACATCACCGTGTCTACAGCCATGGGTCGGCTCAAGGCGCACTACCGCCGCCTTCTCAACCTCCTCGCTAGGGTCCTTTATTCGATTGATTTGAATGAACTTCATGTGGAGTGCAAGACCGTGACGGGTTCGGTTGTACATTAATTTGTTGTGTTTGTGTCTCTTTCTCTTGTTTAGCGTCCTGGCATCTTTGCCAGCGAGGATATTCATTTGATTATGGTTTATATGTATAACTAGATGAATGATTTTATGTGTCAAACCTTGATGTAATGAATTTGTACAACCTTGTAGGACTAACTTAATATCTACATTAGAGTGAAAACTATGCCCTCGTCAAGACATGTGTTACCGGTCCATCTGGTTCATATGGCTGGGCAGGTTCCATTCATCATAGTCCAAATGCACAAAGGCACGGTCGACAGTAGGCACACTCTCGATGATATACTGCAAACTCTCACCAACGTCATGACTATCCCGCAAGCTGATCTTTTCATCCACAACAAGGTCAACTTCAACGTTCAGCTTATCACTCGCGTAGTAGGCTTTCAAGTCCTGAATTTTATGAATCACCCGGGAGAACCGCATGGTCATATACAGCAAAACGCTATGATCGTCGGGAGAGGCAGCCGCACCCGTCAAGCGCTGAATGTATTCCGCAGCGGTCTGACCCCAGTTCCACATGATGTAGAAGGAGAGGAATAGACCACCCAAGGGATCTAAGTACCAGAGATTTGCAGCAGTACCAACTACGATCGGTGGCTGTTAGTTGGTACTCTATGTAGGGAACAGGAATAAGACTTACCCAGTGGGAAGATGATGCTGAACGTGTTAAAGACAACGTCAGTCATGGCATCCTGGGCCAGGACCTGGACGCTTGGGCTAGGAATCAATCGGCACCAGATCCAGCAGAGGAGCTTAACCAAAACTGTACCGCCCATCAGCGCGATTGATGGGATGGATAGCTTAACAACCGTGCGGTCGTCCCCAATCAATTGTTTGATAGAAGACAGCGCTACTTGGAAAAAGGAAGTCACCATGATCACCGAGAAGATCAACACACTGACAGGCTCTAACCGGCGTCGGCTGATGGGATACCGGTTGCGATCCTGTCGGCGGATCATAATGGTGGTCACCCAGACAATCACTGTGCTAAGAAAGTCCAAAACTCCATCCACTAGACCTGCGAGCATAGACAAGGAGTTAGTCATTGCCATGATAGCGATCTTTGAGGCTAGGAGAGCAACGTTGGCGGCAAAATTGAGGCGAATGGCCAGGTTGATGACGCGCTCCTCGTCATCTAGGGACATTCCGCCATGCGATTCGAGGTCAGGGAATGGCTCCAATGGGCTGTCTTCTGCGTCGGAAGAATGAACCAAGGGTGTCGTCTCATCGGGAATCCGATAAAGATTATGCGGGGTGCGTTTGACCCTTCCGATCTTGGGATTGGGTTCTGGTGCCTCGGCCTGGTTATCCTCTAGCGCAGACGGCTGAAGAATTCTGTTTCCCGAAGAATGGTGATTGCATCCATTGTAGTCCTCGATCAGGTTATGGGGTAGCGAAGAATCCAGTAGTCGGTCAATATAGAGATATTGGGAGATCAGTCCATTGTTTCGTTCATGGTATTTCCGACTATTCCGGGAGTCAGTGCCTAGTTTACTGATGTGAGGGGCAAACCGACATTTCCTTTGGAAGATTCTTTAATGACTCGGGTGATTTGTAGTAGCGTTTCCTGCGGCGCCGGTTAGGACCGTAATTGCATCAGGAAGGAGAGAGATAGTACCACTCATATCGAGGATTACTGTGTCCAATCAACAACGATCCGCGTCTGAGAATAAGTCGCCTTTCAGGTGTATCGTCATCGAGATCGTTCAAGGCAAGGCTCGATGTACGAGAAGGGAAAAGGTTCAATATGTGTTGGCCTCTGGTGGAAAGAATTTCACGCTCCGGTTCTAGGCTTGGACGTCGGGGACGTAGAACGGGCGAAGGCGATGATGGAGGGGAGAAAATCGGAAGAAATGTTTGGGAAGACATCAATTGGTCCACCACGGTGAAGAAGTGAAGCTAGTAGGAGCTCTTTTTTTGTGCAAGGTAGGACGCGTAACTAGTTGGTTAGTTGTGGTCACATGACTTCTGCCTTGGTGATTAGGTGTCGAGGTCAAATATAAACATCAGCATAGTATAATTGCATCGGTTGTATTCAATGGTAGAAAATATGACACGATGCACGATGTATATCTGTATACAATGTATGTTGGTCGCATATACTCCGTACTAAGGCTCAAGTTGGACTTGCCTAAAGTGGAATAGTGGCTGAATGCTTCGGGACGTCGAGGCCATACGTTCTTCTTCTCTTCTTCTCATCTTCTCATCTTCTCATCCTCTTTGTTCTATAAGGTTCGGAATAGCTTCAGTATTCCATGGATATTTCATGGAACCTAACAGTATCAACCATATTGCCTTCATCTCAGGTCCGATCGACACTGGACCTGACAAATCCTACTTTCACACTCACTACTTATCCCAAATCAACCACGCGGTCAACTGCAATCACCTCTTTGTTATTGGTCCCATCCCAAGTGGTGTGGATGCAGATGCACTCGCATACCTCTTGGCATACCCTATCTCGCCTAGCCGAGTGACCATCTTTGTGACTCAAGCCGAGAATGGGATGTGGGGGGCGCATTTCCGCTCTTTCGGAGTCAATGTGCGGGTAGTGGAAGGCCACACGAGTCATGATCGAGATGCGGCTTTAACAAGTGCCAGCACGTACGATATTCTACGGGTGCGCACAAAGAAGGAGGCGAAGGCCTTTTATGGCCACATGTGGCGTGACGGGCATGTCACGAATACAGAGCGCAATTGGAAGCGACGTCGAGGAATCGCGGAGCATGAGATTGTAGGAGAGGAGACGATCAATCGTTCAATGGGGTATGACATGGGACCAGCCCTAAGCACCGGCAGGCGTCTATTAGCACGAGTCAGCAAATCTTGCAAAAAGCCTAACAGTTGAGCCACAAAATAGCCATAGAGAAGAGAGAGCATAAGAGAATATATAAAGATCAATACAAAGAATGGGGTTCCCATCATTAGCGGAAATTGGAAGTCTCGTTGTTCCGCGGGGAAATCATCGAGGCGAGTGCGGAATGAGTATTCCGTCTATGCCGCGCAGTGGAGACATCCTCCCCGGACTGATGCGTTGTTGGTTGACCTATAAGAAACGGCTTTTACTGATCCGGTGGCTTATGACTGGCTAATGAACGGCCATGTTACCCCAGCTCTTGTTTCCCCGAGTTCTCGAAACTCGGAAATATGCCGTAGCCGAGCCAAAGAAGAACCCTGAGATGGAGGGGGGCTATAAGAGATGCATGCGTCTCCCACTGGTCATGAAAATCTGCAATTTCTTGTCAAACTTCCTCTATCATGGCGATCCAAACACTTGCAGTCGCCGTTATCACGGTGGTGTATTTCATCATTCGCTATTTTAACCGCACCGATATCCCTAAGATCAAAGGCCTCCCGGAGATCCCTGGCGTACCCATCTTCGGAAACCTCCTGCAACTAGGAGATCAGCATGCAACAGTCACGGGGAAATGGGCAAAGAAGTTTGGACCGGTTTTCCAAGTGCGCATGGGAAACAAGGTAAGTGCTTCGCTTTCACATCGGAGGTGACGAGGGAGTTTGCAATCTAATGTCCAATTAGCGCATCGTGTTCGCCAACAGCTTTGAATCCGTCCGTCAATTGTGGATTAAGGACTCGTCCGCTCTGATCTCCCGCCCGACTTTCCACACTTTCCACAGCGTTGTCTCCAGCTCACAGGGGTTCACCATCGGAACATCGCCGTGGGATGATTCCTGCAAGAAACGCCGTAAGGCAGCCGCCACTGCGCTGAACCGACCGGCCGTGCAATCCTACATGCCTATCATCGATCTCGAATCCAATTCCAGCATCAAAGAACTTTACCGGGACAGCCAGAATGGCAAACGTGATGTGAATCCCACTGCATACTTCCAGCGATTTGCCCTCAACACCAGTTTGACTTTGAACTATGGCTTCCGCATTGAGGGGAATGTGGATGATACGCTGCTGCACGAAATTGTGAACGTGGAGCGTGGCGTGTCTAACTTCCGCAGCACTTCAAATAACTGGCAGGATTACATTCCCCTGTTGCGAATCTTCCCCAAGATGAACAAAGAGGCCGCAGACTTCCGGGGTCGCCGCGATAAATATCTGACCTACTTACTCGATATCCTCAAGGATCGGATCGCCAAGGGTACCGACAAGCCTTGCATCACTGGTAATATCTTGAAGGACCCCGAAGCTAAGCTGAATGATGGTAAGTTATAAAAAAACCCCGTGTTTGTTGAACTGAGTACTCATATTTTGTCTAGCCGAGGTGAAATCGATCTGCCTGACTATGGTGTCGGCTGGTCTTGACACTGTTCCGGGTAATTTGATTATGGGAATTGCCTACCTGGCATCTGAAGACGGTCAAAGAATTCAGAAGAAGGCCTATGATGCGATCATGGAGGTCTACCCGGATGGGGATGCTTGGGAGAAATGCTTGGTAGAGGAGAAGGTCCCCTATGTAACTGCACTGGTCAAGGAGATCTTGCGATTCTGGACAGTCATTCCTATTTGTCTGCCACGCGAGAGCACCAAGGATATCCAGTGGAATGGAGCCACAATCCCTGCTGGCACGACTTTCTTCATGGTAAGCCGCCCCTTGCCTCTGTCCTATTCGGGCAACTTGCTAACAGAGCCTTTAGAATGCTTGGGCTGCCGATTACGACGAAGATCACTTCAAGGATGCCGATAAATTCATCCCGGAGCGTTATTTGGAGGTCAACGAGGGCGCAGGTACTCCACACTACGCATATGGAGCTGGTTCACGGATGTGTGCAGGCTCACATCTCGCTAATCGCGAACTGTTTACTGCTTTTATCCGCCTCATCACTGCTTTCCACATGCACACGGCAAAAGATGCAGCCGATCGACCAATCCTTAATGCAATTGAGTGTAATTCGATTGCGACAGCCTTGACAACCGAGCCAAAGCCATTCAAGGTCGGATTTAGTGCACGCGACCCTAAGAAGCTTGAGCAGTGGATCGCCGAGAGCGATGAACGCACCAAGGATCTGTAAGAGGACCATATGTTGGTTTCCTTTTTAAAAAGAATTCTGTTCAATGTGGTTTCCTCTATTTTTCGGAGGCCATTTATGTATCTACAGTATGTGAAATGAAAGACAAGGAAGTATAGATATAGACCCGTGTTGGACCTATAGAATCAACTTTGGCCTCTCTGCAGGCCTTTAGGAACCTGAATGTAGATTAGTTATCTGGTAATTCTGAGCCCCAATTCCTAAATGGCACATTTTCCCAGTCTATACCAGTCTGTCTCATTTGATAATTCCCCCGGGGTTCCAAGGTTTGTGGCGGTTTCCCCGGCAGAATCTCCCCGCATTTTCTCTCCGCACTTTTCTTCCTCTTCACCCTATTCCATTGAGTTGACATCTGATCGCTTTAAATTGTCTTCAATTGCATCGCCTTGGATGATGAATACCCCGCATGTTTACCCTGCCCCCGAGAGCTGGGATAACCCACATTCGGTCGATGATACGAACGATGATCGCCCGCGGAAACGCCGCAAATACATCGCCAAAGCCTGGTCAGTTTGGAAGGGTTCTCATTCGAGCTGGAGTCCTAACGAGATCGTGAAGTAATGGATGTAAACGTCGCAAAATCAAGTGCAATGGCCAGTCACCCTGCCAGCGTTGCGGACGCCAGCATATTGAGTGTATTTACGTTGAGAACCCTCGAGACAGTCCCGCCGAACAAGAGTAATGCCCACCCCAGCTCGGGGCGTTTGAAACACCACTAATTATGCTTTCAAAGCAACTTCAAGCTGCTTTTCGATCAAATGAGGGCCACGCAGGACCAGATCTCCCAGTTGTCTGCCAGTATTCGGTCAATAGCCGGCAGCGAACATTCTCCTGGGGGTATTTCCGCTACCGGCACCTATGGGCAGCTCCATACTCAGCGTCCACTTAGACGCCTGTCAACAGCTAGAGAGACATCATTTCAAGGCCCGACGACATCGGCCTTTAGTTTTGACCTTGCGAAATCTAGCCTGCAGCAGCGCGGGATTGTGGAACGTGCCGAGGCTGGCGACGAGGGCGATATGACTCAAGAACCTTCGCCGCTGGCGTCGCCATCGGCACCAAATAAGGAACTTGAAACACAACAGGCCCTCGATCCACTTTGTGTTCTTCCCAAAGCCGAGGCACTTCGCCTTTGCCAAGTCTATGAGGAGGAAATGGGCATCATGTACCCGGTCCTGGAGCTTTCGGAGCTTTTGGACCAGGTTAATCTTCTCTACGGGCCGAGGGACCGCGCACTTGGACCGACCGCCCAGCCCGATGGACGGAATGGACTGTTTCGCGAAGACGTCCATATCCTACGTGTAGTTTTTGCGTGTGCGTTGACCGCTGAAGCCAGTGGTCGGAGTGAACAGGCTATTGCTCTTTTTGACAGTGTACGAGAAGTTCAGGACAATTGTGTCTGGGGTCCGCCCGAAATCAAGAACATCATATTTCTGACTCTCGTGGTTCGTCATACCCAATCAATCATGAATGCGACATGCTAATTGCAACAATAGTCAATGTTCTATTTTCAAATAGATGAGGAAATTTTGGCGTGGCGCACTGTTGGTATTGTTGAGCGCATGTGTCTCGAAAAAGGTCTTCATCGGCGGGAAACTCTAAATCAACCGGCAATCATGGCTGTTGGGAAGGATCGCGTTTTGCGACTCTTCTGGTCTGTATATATTTTGGATATGCGTTGGAGCTTCGGGACTGGAATGCCATTTGCTCTGGAAGATACAGATATTGACCCTTGGCTACCAGAGCCGGCCGAGAAAACGCCCTATCTGCGCGTGATGATCCGGTACAGCCGGATCGCAGCGAAGGTATGGAAGTTTATATCAGCATTCAACAACACGAACGAAATCAAAAAGGAAGAGATGAACTATTTGGATTGGCAGGTGTTGCGTTGGGTGCATGCCATTCCAGACTCGTTGCGGCTCGAACATCCGAGTTCTGCGGAGTCTGAGACTGCTACCGAAGGCTCACGGAGCCTGCGCAGACTGCGTGCTCTCCTTTATCTTCGTGCTAATCAGCTACGCATGCTCATTCACCGTCCCGTCCTTCATACTTCAGCGCATGTTATGCGGTATCCAGGCGAATCAGAAACCGTGGTGAAAATCGCCAAAGATACAATTCGCTTCATTACCCGCTTGAACGATACATCGGACATCTACCATTTACAGCAGGTGGCTTTTAATTGGTTCCTCGTCTCAGCACTTGCAGCGTTATTCCTGGCAGTAGCCCAGGCTCCAACGCAATTCAGTGGATCATGTAAGGAGGAGTTTTACTGGGCATTGGAGCTGGTCAAAGGAGTTTCAGCCCAGTCTTATATCTCTCGCCGACTATGGAGGTCTATTCGAAGCCTCCGTAAGCTTGGTCCTCAATTGGGTCTGGGGCTTCAGAAAAAGCGCCTGAATATCGAAGCGGGAGTCGAAAGTGACCATTCAAATGTCCACGGTTCCCCCGCATTACCCCCTTCTGCCAGTAGCCAGAGTCAGACACCGCAAGACGGGGAACAGATGACACAGGAGTTGATGGAGTGGTTTGAAGCCGTGGGGAATCTGGAGGACCAAATCATGGGCATGGGGACGGGCCCTATGCCAAATGGAGGACCTTACCAGCAAATGTCCGACGGGGGGTTTGTGTTTGATTACGGCGAAGAATTGTCAAGTGTGATGAGAGATTTCTTCTGATTATGTACAACATGTGTCGATGTGAAGTCTTAGACATGCGAATTTGAAAAAAAAAGAAAAGGGTGGGGGAGGTTAAGACTGACAATATCCAACACTGTCTTCGGATTTGTGGTTACATTAAGAACTCTGTTCTGTTTCTGATTTCATGATAATATGTGTAGTACCCCAGAAAGAATATCCCAATATTGGAGAGGAGAAAAAAAGACAGACGTGAAGCAATATATGAATGTGTGAATTCCCCGGGGTATTCTATTTCTTCCCGTGAGTTGTACCGTGCCAACATCGAGGTTGAGCTAGTAGATATATTTAAAGTCCAGTTCCCCATCGCCCGTTTGGACTCGTCGAGTCTCTTCTCTTTCACCACTGATAATTTGCTCCTTCACTTTGTTCTCTTGCCGCAAGTAGAGACCATATACAGTTACTGTGACCTGCGCCACCGCAAGGGACCCTAAGGAGAAGGAGTTACCCAGCACATAAGGTGATGTGCGATATACCTGACCGGCAACAATACCAGAACAGTTGGCGACTGTCTGCTGGAGACCAATTGCGAGAGCACGACGGTATTGTGGGGCGACATTCACGTTCAGCCAGGCGATATTGAGACCAACGGACGTGTAGGTGGTGATACCGATGAGGAAAGTGGCAAAGTATAGGACGGCTGTATTCTCTACCGTGAGAAGTATGATGTAACCGACGATGCCGAAGATATTAGCTGCGAAGATGTACTGTGAAAGAGTTAGTGAGAAACGGTGCACTAGAGATTGCAAGGGGCTAAACGTACCGATGCAAATTGGGAATATCGGTCTGAGCACCAAGCAATTGCGATAAAGATCATGGCAGCCCAGACATAGACTGGAACCGTCAAGACGTTGCTCATCAGGGAGTCATAGCCCATGCCACGCAAGATAGTTGGCAGGAAAGTGCTGAACCCATACAAGAGAATATCCTGACAGAACTGGATGACAGCGCTGAACATCAACTTGGGATCTCTGATTGCGATGCGCATTTCTTCCCAGCTAAACTCTTCACTTCCCATATACCTGCGACGCTGCTCGTTGCGTACCCGCATCATCCATTTCTCCTCTTCGGTGAGGAAGTAGGCCTCAGCCGGGTTATTTGGCAAACCGAACCAGATGAGAATGGCACAGATGAAGCTAAACAGCCCTTCGATGATATAAACCCATCTGAAATATTGTAAGCCACAATGTCCTTTTGAGTGGGATAACGAGAAGCATACCTCCATCCTGCTTTGCCACCAATCCCGTCCATCTGCAAGAGCCCGTAGGCCAAGAGACCACCTACAGCCCCCGAGATGGCAGCGCAACTCATCAAATAGGAAACACGCTTTGCTTGCTCCTCTCGACGATAGACCATGGTTAGGTAGAGATTGAGACAAGGGAACAGCCCGGCTTCGCAAGCGCCCAAGATAAGACGAGTCGCGTAGAGAGAGCCTACCGACTGGATAAATCCGGTGAAGATGGTGGTCAAGGACCAAACGATGCATAGCCCCGTCAGGATGTTGCGAGGTGTCAATTTCTTCATCATGACCGCCCATGGTGCTTCGAAAAGAACATATGTTACATAGAAGATGGAGACAGCGGTCGAAAACTGCTCTGTTGAAGCGTTGATATCCTCGGGCATATTGGCAACCTTAACATTTCCTAAGCTTTGTGAGCTCTATGCTCTTTCTTGGAGATTTAATCAAACTCACCGATACTCGATCTGTCCAGGAAACAAGTGAGATAGGTCAACATAATGATGGGTACAAAGGCAGTATCCAACTTGGCCAGAAGTTTTGCCTCTTTCTTCGGATCTAACACCACATCCAAAAATTCGCCGGCGACGGCATAATTGGCTTCTTCGGCATCCTCTTTTTGCAAGGAATCTTTCAGCTCCAAGGGGATATTGTGAACGGTATCGTGGGACATGGCTGCTATGGGGGTTGCAGCAAAATCGAGGTTTTATTGAAACAAGTCAGAACTAATGACCATTTTAAGAATGTTTCGATCGTGACATTGTGGATCATAGTGAAACGGACTCTTATCTTGGGCCACGCGATACTGGAAGCCAAGTCCACTGTGAGTGGGTCTATCGGGCCGATGGTGATAAGAGATGGGAGCAGGTGAGAGGTTGAAGAGGTGAAGAAGGGCCAATAGAGGGCCAATGAGAAGGGTATTGAGGGGATATCAATTAATGCAAGCCAATCCGATGATGCGAACAGATCCTCACCAGAAGAGGCAAGTCGATACGGAGGTGTGCGTATGTAGTGGGATGTTTAGGTGTAAGAGACCTAACTAGGGTTACCATCCCCGATTAATAATCTGCCGGCAATTTGATTCTCCACCAGTTGAAACTTGACGACAGCGGGCGGTATATCCCTCTTGGAAGACGGTGTATTATCTGTGGGGTGTTCCCCAACCTTTTCCCCAGACCCATCGGTATGTGGATTCCGAAAATGATAACCGAGGGTATCTGATTGTCAAGAGGTAGATATTAATATGATTGATATGTAAATTGTTGCCTTTTACTTTTCCAAGAGGAAGCTCAATATGGACAGTATCGCCCAGCAGGCACGACTGCGCTGTCGCTACAATCGACTGACCAATACCGCTGGTGTTGCACCGGGATATTTACAAGCAAATCTTCTGGTACTTCCTTCGAAATATGCTGCGGATTTCCATGATTTGTGTTTGCGCAACCCAGTTCCTTGTCCCTTACTGGGAATAACCGCTGTTCCTGGTGACCCAAACGCCGTTAGACCGGCAGAGTGTATTCGGTCCGGAGATTTTGATATTCGGACGGATTTTCCCAAATACCGAGTATATTCGGGCGGGAAGTGCATTGAGAGTCGGCATGACTTGTCCGATTTATGGACTAAGGACCATGTGGGCTTTTTAATCGGGTGTTCGTTCTCCTTTGAGGATGCCCTGACGGCGGCTGGGTTGCCACCGCGTCACCAAAAGACTGGCACCATAGTTGCAATGTACCGATCAAACATTCCATTGTTACCCGCTGGAATATTCACAGGCGGCCACTGTATTGTATCCATGCGACCGTATCGTCCGGAGCAAATCGAGAGAGTGAGGGACGTTACTCGGGCCTATCTGTCGACGCATGGAGAGCCTGTCGCCTGGGGATGGGATGGTGTGCAGCAACTAGGAATTCTTGATGTGGCAAAGCCAGACTTTGGAGAACCGCAAATATTCGAGGAGGGCGAAGTTCCTGTGTTTTGGGTAAGTTAGGTAGTCACATATCCACCTTTGACGGTTTGATCTGAATTCATCCCAGGCCTGTGGAGTTACACCTCAAATTGCCGTCGAAGCAGCAGGTGATAAAATCAAAGGTCTGGTCTTTGCCCACGAGCCCGGACACATGCTAGTCACGGATTGGACAGCAGAAGACCTGCAGAAACTCAAGCCCGGAAGCATCTAGAACAAAAAGAAATCAACATGAATCCATACAATCATCAACGTGATGATACTTCTCGGCTCTATTCTCTTGTGACCCAACACAGTATCAACTTGAAAGTCTTCAAACACCATCGCGATATCATCCTCAATGGCAACAATCCCAACGACCGGGCCAGTCAGGTTGTAATTGGTTAGGGGGTTTGGGCCAGATGGAAGTTGTTTCATATTCTTCGTGGTTATTCTAATGTGATTCCTCGGAAGGAGAGCCCGTCTCTTCATCGAATACCTTCTTTCCCTTATACCACGTTTGGCACACCCGAGCTTCTAAAAGGGACTCCGGTGCCCAGATCATATCAACCACAACGAAATTGGCTTTGAATCCCGCACGCAGACTCCCTGTCCATGATTCCGAAAAAGACGCATATGCAGCCCCCGCAGTAGCTGCCGACACAGCGGTCGCGAGGGAAACAGCGAATTCAGGATTGATGGTATCTTGCAAGGAGGGCTGGATAGAGGACCGCCGAGTGGTAGCAACGTAGAGATTGGGCAGTGCCTGATGGTCCGCAGTGGGGGCATCGGTGCCAAAGGCCAAATGAGCACCGCCTTCGACAAACTCTTGGTAAGCGAAAGCTCGCTTGCAACGCTGAATCCCAAGCATCTCTGGCCACCCACCAAAGGTCGCTGGGTCAAGGTGAACAGGCTGGACTGAGGCCACTATCCCGAGTTGACCAAGCCTTTTCGCGTCTTCGGGGGTTGTTATCTCCAAATGTTCAATGCGATGACGACAGGCTGGCAAGTCCTGAATTTGGCATAAACAGTCAATAGCCTGCTGCACTGTTCGATCCCCAATTGCGTGGATGGCGCACTGCAGGCCAGCATCAGTAGCACGGCAAATAGCTAATGAAAGGGCATCGGCTGGCCAGATCGGATCGACGATATTGGACAATCCACCATATGCTTGGTGTAATCCCGCTGTACATCCATCCACTGTGCCGTCACAGAGTAGTTTGATTCCATTGATACAAAATTCCGGGGATATTTTCCTGTTGAAGGCTTGTTGAATCTCAATGGCGCGATTAATGTGACTGCAGATATCGGCATCGCATTTTGAGTAGGGTACCAACCAGTGTACCGCAACATGCATCGGGAGCTCACCACGCTGATTTCTGTACATATTCAACGCCACCCATTCACTCTCCCCCATAGCCATATCGACGAGTCCAGTATACCCAGCGCGTTGATGCGCACGGATTGCAGCATCAATCGCAGCCACCTTCTTCTCCATAGACATGACCCGGTCCAAAAATGGCCAGACAACGTCGAATTGCGCCGCCTCTTCGAGTAGACCGGACGGGGTCCCATTATGATAGCGATGGATTTTTCCGCCTGGAGGATCGGGTTTCGACTCAGCCTCTAGCTCTTTGAGAGCTGCATTATTGCACCACGTTGAGTGAAGGTCTAATGCCTCAATGTAGATAGGTCGCGGATCTAGGTCGTCCAGGACAGTTGCGGAAGCGTTACCATCCGTAACTGACTGGACCCAACCTCGGCACAAAATGCGTGGATCCAATGGGTGAGTTGCTGCGTAGGTGGTGATGGAATTTCGGATATCTGCGAGGTTCTTGCAAGGCAAAAGATCGAGTTTCTGCAGCGACATACCGAAGTTGAGAATATGTACATGGCCATCAATAAACCCTGGGAGGACTATTCGATTTCTCAAGTCCACCGTTGATGCTGTGGCTTGAACCCGAACAATCGCTTCGTCATTGTCCCAGCCGACGTGCGCGAGATGGTCATCCTCGACTACCAGTGTGGAGACAAAGCCACCCCATGAACCGGGACATAGAATACGCCCATTATTAAAAATCGTTGTAACCATAATGATACGGTTAAAGGAAGAGGGGTGGTGCAGCAAAGGTAGCAAGGGTAGTTGACTCCTTGAGTTGTCAAAGTTGAAGTTGAGATTGGGGTTGGTGTAGCTGACGTGGACAAGTAAGACACAGACATGAGATTGAGCAACATTTAAATGGTGTAACATTAAGAGGACATGAAAAGAAAAAGCAATTAAATCTTTATTTCAAATTGTCTTATTCTATAGACCTCTCCTTCTCTCGGTGCGTATTTTCTGTTTCGGATAGCTTTGTTGATCATATATAGAAACCCAGACATCCCATAACTCCATGTCTTTGAAGATAATAACTTATGTTATGATGAATGGAAATTATACTCAGGGTTTCAGTGTGGATTCTCATTTCTGACAATAGCGTGGACGTTTCAGACCAGGATCGTAAAATCAACTTTCTTTGTATTAGCAGGAATCCCTAATAGATATAGTTCATAATTAATTATCTACACAAGGCATTATTCCCGCGAGACCACTCTTATAACAGCCAGCTTCTGGCATTGTAGTATCCCCGTTCAAAGTCGTTGATCCGATCGAGGACAAATACAGTTCAGAAGTAAGTGAGATATTTGTGACAGAATGATCCCGATTTGCCTGACGACGGTATAGATGTGCCTGTTAGAAGTCCTTGACCATACAGGTCCCTATGGCTGTGGCCATTTTTGGATTCTTGACCTCGACAGATGTTTAACGGCTCAGTGTTTAGGAGAATTTTCTGGTTGTATTCATCCACTGAAGAAAAATATTGCTCCTCATTCCAAAGAATGGCGGAAATATGTCAATTACTTTCGACCAGGGTATGCTAAGGTTCCAAGTCTTTGCAAAGGATGTCAAGATGGAAACGGTAGTTGGGAAGGTCCATATTGAAGTTCTTATATACGCTCATCTCTCGCGTAGGGAGCATCTACTACTGGGCTAGGAGTCTTGCGGCAGCTACAGCCGGAATTAAACTTCCTCTATTGGTTATTTTATGCCCCAGGATCTCAACTTGGTGTATTTGTCAGTTTATGCTTCGAATCGTGGCGCCATCCACCACCAATGACAGCATGACTTGGTTATCTGAGATATATGGCTGATGCCGGAGGTTATCTTAAGCCTCTCAACAATTGCTGAGGGAATCCGATCCAACCACATCCATAGCTTTATATGTGGTATGTGTTAAGCCGAGACTTCCCGGTCCGGAAATCTGCGATACACAAGAAATATCCCACGCAGTTGAGATTCCACGTGTGTAAGGAGTCCGGAGTAATATGTATCATACCTATCAACTATCGTCAATTGAGCCCTTGCGAAGGGTGGATTCCCGAGATCGGCGTTCGGCATTGTCTCCGACAAGTGGCGGGGACATTCAGCACTCGAAATACGTCAATTTGTCAGCCGATGGATTATTCCCAGTGAATACATAAGGGGGGAATTTCCACGTCTCTGAATCTCCGAATCTCTGAATGGATCAATTGTTAATTTTTAGAGAATAAATAAAAATGGGATCTCTTTTGTTTCGTTCCCCGCCAATTCACCGGGCCGAGGATCTGCCCTATTTTACCCCCGCCAACGATGCCGGAGCAGCTATAAACGCACAGGACCCCAGCACCCCGACACTGTTCCGCCCGTTACGAATTCGAGAGGTCATGCTCAAGAACCGCGTGATCGTGGCGCCTATGTGCACGTACTCCGCCGAATCGGACCCAACTTCTCCGGCTGTAGGCGCGCTCACAGATTTTCACATCGCGCACCTTGGTCATTTGGCGACAAAGGGGGTCGGTCTGATTATAATCGAAGCAACATCAGTTCAGCCCAATGGTCGCATATCGCCCAATGATTCCGGCCTTTGGCAGGACGGAACAGACTCAGAACAGTTCAAAGGACTCCAGCGCGTGGTGAAGTTCGCTCATAGCCAAGGCGCGAAGATCGGCATTCAGCTTGCTCATGCCGGCCGGAAGGCTAGCACGGTGGCGCCCTGGCTCGCATCCCAAGCAAAGCAACGCGGCATCAAAGCCGATGAAAGTGTCGGCGGCTGGCCCTCAAATGTGGTTGGCCCCTCTGGTGGGGAAGAGCAGATTTGGGCACCTGGCGATCAATTCTGGCCCCCTCGCGAGCTTGAAACGGCCGAGGTTGAAGAAATTGTTCGGGCGTTTGCACGAAGTGCAGGGCTCGCTGTGCAGGCAGGAGTGGATGTAATTGAGATCCATGGTGCACACGGATACTTGCTCCATCAATTCCTCAGCCCCGTTACCAATCGACGAACCGACAAATATGGTGGTAGCTTTCAGAACCGAACTCGGTTCTTATGCGAGGTGGCTGCAGCAATCCGTGCCGTCGTGCCCAGTGGAATGCCCTTGTTTCTTCGTATCAGTGCGACAGATTGGCTCGAGAATCAAACTGTCGCAGAAGGAACCGGAAGCTGGGACATGCCATCCTCAATTCAACTCGCCAAGATGTTACCAGACCTAGGGATTGACTTTCTGGATGTTAGCTCAGGCGGTAATCACAGAAGCCAACGGATTGAGCCTCATACGAACTATCAGATTGACCTCGCTGGCCAAATTCGCCAAGAAATTCACGCCGCCAAACATAAGACACTGGTTGGAGCTGTTGGCTTTATTACCGAGCCCGAGTCCGCTCGCGATATTGTTCAGGGTGCAGAAGAAGAGAGACAGGCGAACGAGGCAATGCTGTCTGGCCTAAAGCCCCAGGCTGATGCCGTGTTAATGGCCCGTCAATTTCTGCGCGAGCCCGAATGGGTGCTGACGGCAGCAAAGAAACTGGATGTGAAGTTATCTCTCCCGCGGCAATTTGCCCGAGGCTTACTGTAAAGTGGACACATATAATTCATAGACCAATCTTTCTAACTGCATGATTGTAAACCTGTGGTTGCCCTGTTCCGAGTCTCAGTACAGACTGTAGTACCACACATCCATAGTCTGCAGCCCAAGACTGAGAAAGGGGGAAGATCCTCGACGATCATTTCCATATTGGAATTCCCCTATCATCTTTCACGAAGACTTCTTCTCAATCTTCTACGAGAGGGCCCTCGTCCGACCCTTATCCGGCCCAGGTGACTTGTTGTATACGAATCTGGGGCGAATGGTGTACTTGTTATCAACCACGACTCCCGTGCTTCCCGCCCTGTCCAGTTACAAGCCAATGATTGATCAACGTGCAATGCCAAGCATCGGGCCAAGACTCGGGAGCCGGTGTTACAATGCATTTGGAGATGAATTGGTACTAGATTGGCATTGTTTATGAGGGGCTGTTGGCTTGACCTAGCAGATAAAGCAGGAATATAAAATCGACGCTTCCAACTTTCAACTTGCTGATGCTCTCTGTATTCATCCTACATTCTTGATTGTAGCCTTGATACTCAACGCATTCCAGTTGGAATTCAGACGCCAATTTGAAAAATATCGACACCTACCAAAAAAAAAACCACAATGGGAATCTCTCGCACTGCCTGGGTTCTGGCCTTCGCCTTCCAGCCTTTCCTTGGCGGAGCGTTGCCTGCCCCCTCACCACCTGGGGTCCCGTCTACCTCTACTGCAACGAGTGAGCTGGCAGGATTGACCGTTGCTGCACAGGGATCGCAGGATGGATATAGCCGTGATGAATTTCCGCACTGGATTACTATCAGCGGGTGAGTAGATGGAGTCACTGTGAACCTGAAGTGTTGGCTGCTCAAATTGTTGGCGACAGAAATTGCGACACACGCGAGACAATCCTCAAACGGGACGGAACCAACGTGGTCCAAAGCTCTAGCTGCAGTGCTACCAGTGGATCCTGGTTTTCTCCGTATGATGGCGCAACCTGGACAGCTGCAAGTGATGTCGACATTGATCACCTCGTCCCGTTGTCAAATGCATGGAAGGTGAGCTCGGACCATCTGACAAAATGGACCTTGAGATATTAATGAATATTCGCAGTCTGGCGCGTCCAGCTGGACCAAAGCAGATCGTCAAGCCTTTGCCAATGACCTCACGAATCCCCAGCTCCTAGCAGTCACTGACAACGTGAACTCCGCAAAGGGCGACAAAGGCCCGGAATCGTGGAAGCCTCCCCTAGGTACGTGGTAAACCATGTGTATTGTCTAGTCTATGGTTTCTGACATAGAACAGCTTCATATTACTGCACTTACGCCAAAATGTGGGTGAAGGTGAAATCGGTTTATGATCTTACCGTTACTTCGGACGAGAAGGCTGCTCTTGTTGAAATGCTAGCGACTTGTTAAAAAGTTTGAATACGTTGTAGTGAGAATCAACATGTGGCGGAAGATTGGAGAATATATCAAAACATGAAAAGCTTCGAATTTGCATTCATAGGATTTGACAACTAACCTAATTTTCTAAACGCGCCGCAATCGCACAATTGATGTCCTAATGGAATCTTAATATAGAAGCGGGTGATCTAAAGCAGTATCGTAGAAACGACTGTGCTCCGCGGACTGAAAAGGCGAGGGCACTGGGATCAGCGGCACGAATCGAGGAGACTAGAAAATGGCCTAAATTAAGTGAAAGAAGGGTTTATCCGGGGATCCAAACTTGAACCGGCATTCAAGGAAAATATTTGGAATATTAGATCATAATGCAATGGTTGTTTTATTGAACTAAGAGGAAGTGCGTTGTTCATTAAATTAGCCTGAAGTGTCAGGCACCGAGATGGGTCACGTGGGGGGACGATATTCCGAGATTTCGTTATCGGAGCACTCCGGCCCGTCCACAGAAAGGGACCGGAACATTGACGGTCCGAATCCATCGGCGGGGTAATGACATGTGCAACAGCCTAGGACGGAGTACTCCGCCGTACTCCGTGCTTCATACAGAACTATGTGCATACAACATAGTTCTACTATTTTCTACTATTCATAATCTCAGTATCTGACCGAGCATTGCCTTGACAAAATATATTTTCCTTGATCTATGTGGAATCATCATCGGTGACCTGAAGGGTGACACACCAACGATCATTTCTTCACCTTTACTAATCATCTCTTCGCCCGGGGCTTTGAGAAAGCTGTGGGTCTGAGGATTTTCAAGTGGGGTTATTTTCAGCCAAGCATTTTCCAATGATGCTTCTTGTCCGCACGAACCATAAACCAGGTTTTGTGGCAAGCCCTCGGGGGTTGGATATGTGGGATCGAGGGCTCCGATCTCTCGGCTCACGAATCCCCAGTATTTCGTGTTCTTGACCCGGCCCCCAAGCCTCACTCTTTATGCTCCCATTATCATTAGCATTATGACCTTGCCGGGTGAGAAAACAACAACCGATGAGCTTCAGGATGCGGAGCAAAATACCGATGCCTGTCGCCAAAGCCGGGCATTGCTTTTGTCGGAGGAAGAAGCTCTCGAAAAAGCACGGAGCAATCCCAATGACGCGCTACCGATTCAGATAATATACGCCGCCAATGACCCAGATAACCCCCGGAACTGGCCAAAATGGCGCAAATGGTATATCACCTGTGTGGTGAGCATGCTCAATGTTTTCACGTACGTACGCTTATCACTCCTTCCCAGTCGAGGTTTATCTAACTCGTCTCATACAGTACATGGTGCGCAGGGGGCATTTCCTCCGGTGCTGCCGGAATACAAAAAGAGTTTGGGGTATCGGCTGAGGTCACTACTTTATGTTTATCTCTATATATTCTTGGATACGCAATCGGCCCCGTCCTTCTCGCCCCACTCTCCGAATACTTTGGTCGGCAGCCGGTTTACGCCGTATCATGGTTCGGTTTGTTCATTTTCCAGCTTCCGCTGGCTATGGCCCCAAACATTGGTACTGTTCTGGCATGTCGATTCATTGCAGGCTGTGCCGGAGGTGCGCCCCTGACAAACATTGGAGGTAGTATCAGCGACCTCTGGGAACGGAACGAGAGCGGAGGGCCCATGGCCGTCTACGGGCTGAGTAGTACGTTTGGGCCTCCTATGGCGTTGGTGATCACCGGCTATATTGGACTTAACCTCGGCTGGCGGTGGATATTTTGGGTTTTGATGGCCATGACGGGCGGCATTTGGGTCTTGTTGGTAACCACAATTCCCGAGACACGACACACCACAGTGCTTAAGAGGAAGACCAAACGCGCACGCAAGCAGATGAAGAAAGAGAATCTTCAATCCGCAGAATCTACTACCGACATGCATGCGAATGGCAGAAAAGGGCTTTACGAACTATTCGCTATTACCCTCACTCGTCCATTCCGCTTTCTTTTTTCGGAGCCCATCACGTTGTTCTCGGCAATCTATAATGGCTTTCTGTATGGATTGGTATATCTTTTCAACGAGGCGATCCCTCTGGTTTTCGGCGCTCCGAAAGGACACCCATTCAATACCGGCCAACAGGGACTTGCCTTCTTGGGACTGGCGATTGGACCGTTGATTGCATTCTGTTTCTACCCACTCCAAGAACGATACTATCTGCGCCGGGTTGCCGAGAACGGCGGCAACGGTGTTCCAGAGGCGCGGATGTGGATGGCCCGTGGGGGTGCGATTCTCATTCCCATCAGTCTATTTTGGTTTGGGTGGACAAGCTATCGGTCGGTCCATTGGGTTGTCCCAATCATTGCCTCGTCATTATTTGGCGCCGGGATTTATGTTGTGATTCTGAGCATTCTGAACTACGTTGTGGATAGTTACCAGACGTACTCAGCTTCGGCTCTTGCTGGTGTCATTCTGGCGCGCAATTTTGTCGGTGCCGGATTCCCATTGTTCGCCGCTCAGATGTATGAGAAACTGGACTATGAATGGGCTTCCTCTCTCTTGGGATTCATCTCCATTCTTCTTGTGCCGATTCCATTCCTTTTCTTCTACAGGGGAAGAGCCATTCGCCTACGAAGCCCGTGGGCGCGGGAGTACTTCGACCAGAACGAAGACAGCCCGCATTAACAATTTTCGAGGATAGCCTCAACCTCGTGATTGATTTGAAAAGCATGAAAAGAAACTTTCCTTGTTAGGAGGCATATCAAATGATGTATTCTCAAGTTCAATAGCTTGCTAGACTCCTAATCTCCTAAAAGTTTTCAGTTGTGCTGAATATGCGCCGATGCTCAATGCGACTACAATCCTCATCTAGGAGATTTATAGTCGCTTTACACTCATCAAGATGTAATTCTGCCGTATCTCATATTGAAACCGGGTATAAAATTGGTTTGGTCCCGACTGATCTATGCGCCCTATAGTGATCAATGATCATCTGCTCATCGTCCCCGTGAGGATGCAATTACCCCTATCTTTTTAGTAGCGTTATTGAAGAGCCGCTTTTCCTCACAACTGCAAATTCGGATAGTCGTCAATTTCAGACGAAACACGTAGTGAAGTATCCCGCCGTAGTCTATTAGTCCCCGGAAAACTTGCTACACTTGTTTGTAGAGATAGCAAGAGCCGTAACTGAGTCATTGTAAGCTTTACAGATCAGGCAGTGATACGTCCGGGTCATTATTGATATTGAAATGGTAATATAGACACCGGGATGGTAGGTGAAACAGAAATAATTAATTATGATATTCCGTTCTCCTTTGTGCACGAATCCAATATCCAATTTGACCATACACCTCTGACGTGATCATGTCTCAAACATAGCATCTTCAAATTCCTGTCATCACTGGACCCATTTATAGCTAAGGACTGGGATTTCAAAGACAGGGGCCGTACAAGTGGCGTTGAAGAAGGCGTCGTGCGTACAGTTCAGCTCGAAGGATGTGCTACCGTAATAGGTGATGCGGCTCCCATTGGCGCACTCAATTGCATGTCCATTGCCGAGAGTATAATCCATGTACCCCATTGTGCTTTCTAGGTTTGTGGTTCCGTAGAAAGCAACAATACGCCCAGAACCGCGATCAGCATATCCGCAGTTGCTCTCGCCATTGCCTATATCATGAATGCGATACCCAATGTATTGATCGTGGCAGACAAGGCCGTCTTCGAAGTTGATGTCTAGTGTCTCCAGGGGACCATAACCCCATGGCTCATAGTTCGGCATTCCAGTCCAGCACACATTGACCATAGTCCCATTGCACGTTGCGGGATCGGGCTCACACCACTCATTTCCACAAAGACACCCCTTGGCATCGATATCGGCCTCGTTATGGACACAATCCAGACTGTGAGAGCCATTGTACCATTGAAAATTGTTGACTCGCCATGTGGGAATAGGGCATCCATCGGGCAGGGTGATAGAGCGAGGTTGAAGTTGAGACGTCGATGTGCATACCGAAAATGCAAGGACACTTATGAGAAAAATAAGGGTTGCCATTTTTCGGGTGAATAAAACGAGGATATAAGTTGAAAGAAAAAAAGTCCAGTTTGAGAGAAACCGCTTTGTATACCTATTCTGATATGGAAAACCTCTCTGGTATTGTTTAGCGAGCTTACATGCAGATAATGGCCCCATAGTGGGATCATGAGGTTACAGTCTTTGTTCCATAAAACAAGACCAATTGAGTGGATCAAAAATAGCGGGGTTTGAGACATAGCTGAACTTGTTGAAATTATGGAGTTTGTGCGTGAGATACTACTGATCAGATTGGTTTTGGCCTTCTCCACCACCTCCACGTCAACTCGACGAGCAATGTGGCTACCGACAAGATTCAGGGTCGGGATGGCATATGGTACTACTTATTAATAGGTGCGGAACTCCTCCAAGCCAGGCAAAGGAAGTCGACGCACAATCTGAAGACAGCTATAGGATCAAGTCATCACCCTAGCACGGTCGAAAGGGGTAGAGGACGATGAAGAATCCCCTATGCGGAAAATATCTATCGGGGACTAAGGACTGCTAAGCTAAGTTCATGTATTTTTGCCATTCTCGAAAATAATTCGGGGGACGAGGCCCTACTTGGAAAATTCTCGCTCTTCTACCAGTCTATAAATGCGACTAGTACCGTTTATACGTAAGAACTACATAACTTCGTAGAAATAATTCCGAGAAGTGACACGGTGATAATTATATATATATATATGGCTAAAGTACCAGTCCCAACACAAGTTCAGTGATGACAGTTTTATTCGAAAGTAGATAGGAGTGTGAGCAGAGAATGAAAGGCTCTATAATCCAAGGAAACACTTACGCCGCTAGATTTTGTGCTTTCTTACTTATTAACAAGCACATTCGAATCTGTTAAACTAGGAATATTGTTGGGTGACCGGAAGGCGGTCACCCATGTGGGTCCAGATCACTAGATAGTTCCGCTTCCTCTTCCTCTCTCTCTCTCCCTCTTGTCCATCAGATCTTAGCCGAATCGACACTAGTTGTTTTCCTCTTTACAGATACAACGTAGTTCGATCGCCATTAAATATGGCCCCGCCTGAGATAGGAACCTTGGTTTTTGCTATGGTCTAGTGGTAAATGTGCTGTATGGTACCGTTTTCCCGTTTATTCGCCAGTGTGCAAATCGTTATTGACTATGCCATCAAGAGACTTATTTAAAAGTACGACACTAAATCGGGCTTTCTAGATACTTCAAGCGTCTGAAGTGCGATAACACTTATTATTTGCCACTTTCACCAGATGAGGTAAGATAGCTTTGCATCAAACACCAATATCCAGGAACATGGTCAGTCCAAATATTGCTAAAGCCTTCAATGTCACGGCGCCAGTCGCGCTGGAGTTCCGAAGAAACTGCAGCCCAATTCAGAAGTTGGATGCCTGCCTGGGCCATTCTCTTATGGGCTGCTTCTCTGGTGTGGTCTTTGAAGGTCCCCGATGCATCAGTCACAACAAAGACGTCGTAACCCTGCTCGACTAAGGTCAGAGCGGAGAAAGCTACACATATTTCAGTCAAAACACCACTATCATATTAGCAACAACTTTTTTCAAACGAGAAATCTTCTATAAGGTCGCGTACCTAATGATGACTTGCTTCTTGCCAGTTGTTTTGACCGCATTCGCAAAATCCTCGTTATCCATGGCGTTAATTTGTCCAGGCCGCCTGATCAATGGAGCTTGGGGAAATTGGTCAATAATTTCCTTGGCAATTGGGCCGTTAGGCCCAGTGTCAAATGAAGTAGTGAGAACAGTAGGTGCTCCAAAGTAGCTAGCAGTTTTGACGAGTCCTAGCACGTTGGTGCGGAACTCAGTCGGCTCGAAATCACGCACCAACTGGATAAGACCCGTCTATTATCCGACTTAGTTTTTGATCGATGGATTGCTCACTTGACCTGAGTGTGACTTGCCTGGTGGTCAATAAACAAGAACACGCACTGGTCCCGGTTTAGGCGCTTGTAAGCAGGAGGCATATTGAGAAATTTAATAAGACGATATCCCGTGATCTGAAATATCTGAAGCTTTTCCAAAGTGATGGAAGCACTTCATAATATGGCTTTTATATTAATTTATATGCTCATAGATTATCGATGATTACGAAATGATCACCCGTCTGTCCGTTTCCAACGTCACACTCGGCGTATGATGATCTAATTTTCGAACCAGAGCGTCATACGTGTTTCAACCACTCCAATCATCAAGGAAGATCAAGAGGTCAGATTCATATATGCGATGAGAAAGACCAGGGCACACTTTTGAACACCAATGTCCTGTTCCTGGATATGGTAAACGCTGTTGGTACAGTCAACTAACCTAATTAGACCGAATACCTCTCTCTCCATTATAACTCTTTTACTTGCAACTCCCCGCTAAGCTACTTCGGGTATGTTTCCCGCTGGCCGCAATCTTTAGTCAGCTCGTGTAATTTAGTTACTAACTACCTAATGGTGTCGGCTTGTCGCCACCGTAAAAAGTATCAGCCACATGATCGGCCCCGTAATATTAATCAGTCTGATGACCTGATGACCTGATCACCTGATCGGTTAATATGAAGCTATTCAGAGATGACATGATCCGCCGCTTACAACTTCCACCTCGGAACCGACATCTTACTTTTGATCTTATAGCGAAACTACACCGAACTTATGATATGAGAAATAAACAGTGAAAGGTGGTTGACGAAGGGCTAATGAGTGAGTTACTGCCATGCATAGATTATCTCACATCATATGTGGCTCAACTTTGCTGACGTTGAGGCCTGCATAGATCCCAACTCTTGACCAGAGAAATTATCTTTTCCCCGCACGACTTTCCCACGACGTGTAGGAACCATCTCGACGAACATGTGAAGACAAAAGTCTAGTTCCTCGAGCGCTATAGTAGCCCACAGTGACAATCTTTTCTTTTTCGGTAGGGTCCTTGGCCGAAGTATGAGCCAAGGCGCCTCTTTGAAGGGGTCAGTTAGTGAACGAAATATCAATATAAGATAGAGAGACGCACTGTATCTTAGCATCGACCACCTTTGGGCTCTGATGACTGGTTAACACAAAACTATATGGAGCTGTCATGTCACGAGACTTACTTGTGCCTCTGCCTTCGAAGCTGCACTGTTAAGTGCTTGTTCCCATTCCGCATCACCGTTTATTTGCACAACGTCTGCCACGGATACATTTCCGATCCAGTTGATCGAGCGTGTGGCAGCTGTTTGAAAGCCTCGAGCTGGGACACGGTTCATGTTGTAGAAAAAGTTGATAAGAAATGTTCTGAAGTTGAGTTGGCTCAAAAGTATGTTGTATCTGGGAGAGGGGAGGGGGTTGGGTTGAAATCTCGGAAGCATCGTATTGATACCGCTTTATATAGTGCAATATTCTATATTTGGGAAGGTGGGATATGCACTCATACTGTATAAAATGTATGCTGAAATAAATGGCGCAGCCACTACCGTACCATCACTTTCTTCGCGCTCGCGCGGGTGGTCGTTAGTGACCCCAGAGCACAAAGAAGCGGATGAATCACAATCCGATTTTGTTGGACTCCTCACCGATCGACAAACAGGGCTGATCGGTTGACACGAGTATCCCTCAGCTGACATGTGTTCCTCGGCTGACATGTGTATTCCTCTTGTACGAGATAAGGCTACCGAAAAATGATTGGCAATTCACGGATGCCAAGGCGTCGATGCTCAAACACTGTGGGCGCTGCGCTGATGTATCCATGAAATATAAAAGCGCACTTCCATAGGGATCTATAAAGAGTCCCTAGGACAGCGGGCGCAGATAGCAGTTGCTCACCCTGGGGGAAACGTACTAGCCAATGATCTTTGACCAGTGAGCTGCCTCAACGCTCATCCACTGATTATGGGTGATAATAAAATTGATACCGGAAGTCTAACCATACCGGCAGATGAGCCGAGGGTCAGGGGTAGGCAAAGTACGGAGTGGACATAATTGCAATGAGCGGCTCAGCCTAGAAAGGGTACGTTTTGGTTGCGACACTATTTTCGGTATCGACTGCATTTCTGATCGACTGACGAAACAAATCCTCTTTGCGCTTTTCAGGCTGGCGGCTTGGCCATTGACCATTTCAATCCAGCGAATGTTTCAGAAATAGAATCGCAAATTATGGAACGGCGGCACGTTCCGCAACATCCGGCGCGTACCCCGCAATAGATATGTGTGGATTTTCTCCGCAGTCGTCCAATTGCTTTATTCAGCCTTATAAACCGTTACGACACGATAATAGATATACATTTGAACGGAGCCAGTGTGATTATTTTTTTTTTAGGATCTAACAGAGGAAAGATCGAGCGACGATTGGCTCCGTACAGGGGAAATGACTGAGCAGGTGGAAAAGGTTGAGTTGTTCCTGTGAGACTGTCCAAATCAGGCTTTCCGTAGAGCCGCATCCGCTTGATTACCTGCAGCCCTGTTTTGCTATTCGGGCATGCTTGACTGGCTAATTAGGTATAATGGACGTTTTGTGCATGTAATGGCGAACTACTACGGAGTGGATATCTCGTGAGAGAAAACAATGCGTATAGATTTGGCTGAATAGAGGTGAAGAAGGGACGAAGTATTAGCAATGTGGGATCTGGACCCACTTGGTGCCTGCCTTGCCGGGCAACAGCATGTGACGTGAGCCTGCCGGGCCGATGTTACTCCGACCAGCTGGCGTAGTGCAAGTCGATGTTCTTGTTCTCATCGGCCAATGCAACATGGAGAAAAGACGACTACTCAGCTTCCGAACAGTATTTCCTACTCCATTTCCATATAATTCGAACGCACACTCCTTATTTCGACGTATATTACCAAGCAAGCGTGACATGGGTCATCTTCGCTCTCCCTCCAAACCACGCGTCTTCCCTAGTTCAGGGTGGGACATTATCGACCCTTCCATCCCCGTCGAAGAAGAGTCAATCCCCACCTACAGACCCGAAAAATTCTACCCCGTGTATATTGGTGAGGTATTCAACCATCGATACCAAGTACTGGGCAAGTTGGGATATGGATCCAGTGCGACAGTGTGGCTAGGCCGTGATTTATTGTAAGACCAACCGATTCCTACCGTTCAGATTCAAGCTAACAGAGCAGTGATGACCGCTATGTAGCATTGAAGATTTACACGGTGTCAACAACAGTGACCCGAGAGATCGAAATTTACAACCATCTCAGAGCTATCGGATCCGACCATGCCGGCCAGACTTGCCTACGACCCTTGATTGACATGTTTCACATCCATAGTCCCGATGGGAATAGTGTTCATACTTGTCTGGTGCATCCGCCCCTTGGGATCAGCCTCGACCAGCTCACTCAGCTCCTCCCCGATGGAGTGATGAGTAGTGCCATGGTTAGAACTACCATCCGCAATGTCCTTGCCGCTCTGGACTTCCTCCATACAGAGGCACGGGTTATACATACCGGTTAGTACCAGTTCATTCAAAGAAGCCCTCACCCTACAAGGGCTAAAGCTAGAAAGTACTAATTCGCAGCGTAGATCTACAACCAAATAATATTCTCCTCGGCATCAAAGATGACTCAATATTATCCAAATTCGAACAGGCTGAGTTCGACATGCCTGTGCCGCGAAAAATCTTAGAGGATCGCACTATTTACTTATCACGACCCCTCTCTGTCTCTTATGGGACTCCCGTTCTCTGTGATTTGGGCGAGGCTCGATTAGCCACCAATGACCAGGAGGGCGACATCATGCCAGATATCTATAGGGCACCGGAGGTCATTCTAAACATGACTTGGGACCACAAAGTTGACATCTGGAGTGTTGGCATGTTGGTAGGATAACAACCTATGCAGTCACTTGCGGCCACCGTGAAAACTGACATTAGTTCAGATCTGGGATCTTTTTGAGCGTCGCCACCTTTTCAGGGCTCGAAATCCCGCACGTGAACTTGATGATGGGTATCATCTTGCCGAAATGCAGGCAGTCCTGGGAAGCCCTCCTCTCAAACTCCTCGGTCGGAGCGAAAGGAGCCACCAGTTTTGGGATGAAAAAGGTTTGTGCGGCTATCCCCTAACAATGATTCAAATCATATTTGCCAACGTTAATAATTGTATCAGGTAATTGGAAAGGTGCAGCTCCAGTGCCAGAATCCAACCTCGAGGCGCTAGAAGAGAGACTCAAAGGTGATGAAAAATGGGACTTTTTACGTTTTCTTCGGCGAATGCTATGTTGGCTCCCAGAAGAAAGAGCGTCCGCTAAAGAGCTGCTTTTTGATCCTTGGTTAATGCGTGGCCTCTTTAAATGAGACCATGGATAGGTCACTTCTCATTACACGCATTCATTTATCCATTTACTAATGATACAGAGGGATTCAGTAATTCCTTATTGTCAACATAAGGAAAAAGCCAACTCATTCTCGGCAATAATGGCAATACTTGGCCAATCGGGGGCTCTACAGCCGTATGAATCAGTTCCTCATAGTCGTGACTGTCACAATCCACTACAGATCGCTATCATTACTTCATGCTTGTTTGCTTACTTGCTCGTTTGCTTGCTTACTTATTGTTTACATTGTTTACCAGTTTCTATGATATAGATTGTTTGCTAGATAGCTAAGCGAGATATTAGAGGTGTACAATGTTTGCAAAGGGACAGCTATATCAACAGGCTGCCTCCCACCTCCTACCTTGCAACTTGCTGCTTCTTTCTCTCCCCATCTTAGTTATTCTATATTGAACGCAATCTTCTATCTTCGAAAGACCTGGCACGTCACATTGGTAATCTAGCAAATAAAATTCATTCTAATCCCTTCAAATAAATTCTCTTAGAACCTATATGCCAACTAAGGCTGATAGCGACGAATGGTATCAAGCGCGAGTGCAGTAGAAGTACCTCGGTTTCCCAGCCACAGTCTCTTAGAATAATACTGATACAGAGTTTCCATGTCCTATCCACCATCCACCATCGGCTCTTATATCGATAGTAAAACTTTCAGCCCTGAAATATGACGAACCCCAACTTAGTGGCAAACAATCAGTCGCATGGCGAGACTTACCGCATCCGCATCCACTGGTGGACCCGAATCTGGGATCCCGCTCTCTCGATGGATTTGCGGTGCCCAGCCGATTTCACGAGCACGGTCTGCCCTTGTTCTAGAATTGGAGGCAAATCCTAGTTCCACAACATCCAATGGCTTCTGAAGAACCCTTCCGCCTTCCTCCAACCCAATTTCTCTTATTTCCTCTGAAACCAGAAACCCTGTTTCTTTTCCTGCCTTTGCAATCCGTTCCGACACTTCTCTCCAGCTATGGTGGCCCGTCTCGTTGAAATAAACACCCCTTGCACCAGACGGCAAATCATCCCCATTCAGAATTCTCGCCAAAATGAGCTCATACAAACCAGCCAAGTCCTCTATATGAACATGGTCCCACTCTGCATCTCCTTTCCCAATGACAGGCGTGAATCCACCCCGCTGGGCTGCGCGTATGAGACTGTTGATCTGGATCGAGGTTCGGTTGAATAGACCGGTCCCAATGCCGTAGATTGTAGGCGACATCAGAATGCAGGTCTTCACCCCAGCCTTTTCACCGTCTTCGAAGATAACCAGATCAGTGGTGCGCTGTCCCAGACCCGGAAGAATAGTAAAATCCTGTTCATAATTGGCTTCCATTTCGTGATTGTAACTCTCAATTGGTGGACACACTCTCTTTTTGCAGCTCAATCAACGCCTCACAGTGACGTCCTGCTGCACAATCTCGCCTAAAGGGAGCCGTGAGATAGTTCTCAATTGCATCCATGGCAATCTAATCCTACTACTTTTTCAACGATGTACCGCTTATTTAGTCGACGGGTTCGGCATGCCAGAAGTATGCGGCCATTTTCGGAACAAATCAGTCAGATGGTCAATTGGGGCCGTCATAAGACCAATAGCGGTCTCGAAGGGCGGCTTGTCAGGAGCACTGGGGTGCGAATGCGACGGCACAAACATCTTAGTCCTGCCAAAGGATCTGGAAAGGTTCTCGCTCTCCTCGGCCCCTAGGGCATCTTCCAGTTTAGGAAGGTCCTGGCTCTCCTCTTCCTTGATGTGCTCGTATAGGTCTTGCATCAGGGCCGTGATGGTAGGCTGAAACTGGGGGTCTGAAGGTTTCATGTTCTGGAATTTCTTGAGTTGTTCTTTGACCTGCAATGCATTATTAGCTAGTAGCAAGAAAGTGTTTGACTGTGGACGACTCACTGATTGGTGTTCTTTACGGTCCTTCTCCGCCATAGCGCGTCCATCAAGGAGCCTCTTCTCGAACTGTGGGTAGACGACCAGCTCCTCACCGATTGAGTGACGGGCCAATTCCCAGGTAAACTGATTCTGCCATTGAGCCTTTTCTTTGTCGCTTGTGGAGTTGAGGATCTTTTTGTAGTAGTCCACGAGCTCGCAGTGATCTGTCTTGATTGCGTCGATGATACGGGACGACATGGCAACAGACGTTCGAGATATTTGGCACCGTTGAGTTGGAGATCTGAGCTGCTTTAGAGGTGTACGAGTATAACGCCAGAGTCAGCCGCTCGGTAGTATTATAGGTTCCGACTGTTTGAGTTTCCTCATAACATTCCCAATTAGTCAAGGAAGTTGGCCGAATGAGGCATGTACAGTGAGCGGTCACAGTTCAATTGGGGTTTTAACTCTTCTTACCCAAGTCTGTCCTTTATGATGAGCTCGCTGAGGTACCACCAGGCAGATCCCAGAGCCGGATCAGACGTCTGACTAGACTCTCCCCCAAGCTGGCTAGTATCAGTAAAATAGTAGCCATTTCAAGCCTTTTTGTCGATTTCAGCACTTGTAGCAGCGTATAGGGCGCTAAAGCAGCCTTGCCCTATATTCCTGCCCATGCTCAACATAGCTGTCGTTAGCAATTTACCAAGGGCCATGCTATGCATTTTCGAACTCTGAAAACAATACTGGGCAAGTGTATCAGGTAGCTTTGAAGTTTTTATTAGTCAAGATCGATAGGATCACATTTGTATACTCTGGGACCAAATACGGGATGGCTTGAGTTCAACTAGCGGAACATTAGGAATAAATTAGATGGTCATTATCCTGGTACATTTACCTGGACAAATGTGATTGATGGGTTGGCAAGTTCAAGCGGAGCCATCTAATCTGACTAGGAACATATACAAATGGTACTTTATGCTCTCACGTAGGTAGACACCGTCCTACTTCGACCTTCAAAACGTACAGTCACAGTGTTGCGAATAATACCTCAATTACATCACTTGCAAGGCTGCGCTTTCGCTGTTCAATCAAAATTGCCTCCTGAACAGTGTATGTTATGTGACGCCGCTGTGATTATAACGTGTTGTGGTGGCCATGTGCCGATCACATGCCGTTGCCTGGTTTGCCAGGCTTCACCTAGCTATTTAGCTAGATCTCGATCGTTTGTAGGAATCTAACCTTCTACATATCTCTCTCACCGCTACAAGAGGTTATGGGCCCTCTCTCTACCCTACCAGCATTGTCCTCCCTTTGCTAAATTCATCAATACTCAGCCACCAAAAGGGCGCTGTAACTCACCTCATAAGCGGTTGCAGGTTCTGGCACCCAACTTGCCTTATAAGCGGTCATAGCACTAGTAATTCGCCTTATAAGCGGTTACAGTAGCTCCATACGGCTCGCCTTATAAGCGGTTGTCTATAGCTCAAACAGCTCGCCTTATAAGCGGCTGCCCAGCTCCATATAGTTCGCCTTATAAGCGGCTGTTACTTTTAGTCAATATGGCTACTCCCCCTATAGACGAATGGAGTACCCTCCTTAGTAAAGAAGAATCTATCACCTAAGTAAGTGGACTTCTAGATCCCGGTACATTTAAACTTTATAAATTCGAAGAGATACTTAAGAATAAAGACGACTTCGAAATATGGTTTAACCAAATCAATTAATATCTTAAAAGCTAAGGTCTCTAACGTCTAATCGACTAGAAGATACCCCGCCCTTTAAAGATAGCCGATAATACGAGAAAATAGTAGCAACTATTAATTTAAATCACTAGATACCTCGTCGCTAATATATCGAATAACCTTATACAGTAGGTTAGGTCTTAAGGGGTACGTGTTAAACTTACCGATGAATTTATAGAATAGGCTGTTAAGCTATTCTAGGGCCAGGGTTTTTATGTAATTAATAAAGTATTCTAGAACCTCGTTAAAACCAAGAAACCTAGCTTTAGTATAACTACAGAATTTATCTAAGTAATTTAACAGCGTTTTTTCGCAGCAAACGAACTTAGTATCGTTAGAGTACTATATATCATAATAACAACTCTTTTTAAATAACTTAATAGGGAAGAGTACTTCTATCATTTTCTTACCTCTTACTACAAAAAGCTTAAAGCAAAGGATAATCTATCGACTTCAATCACAGCTAAAGACTTCTACGAATATTACTCCGAAATCCTATAATATATAGAGTAAAACGTTGAAGATAGAATTATATATAGAGCAGTCTATAACCACAACTTCAATAAATCCAAATTGAATAACGCACTACCGAGAGGAAAAACCGCAGAATCTCATATGGCTAAATGGAAGACCTATACTATAAGTACTAACGGTAACTGTGTTTACTACGGTAATGTAGGCCATTTAGTAACAAAGTGCTACCATCTAAATCCCGATACTCACCCTCCCAATTAGAAACCACGTTTAGGCCTATGGTATTACCAATGGAGGGGATCTCGTTTCCAGGATTCAAAGATAGAAATTAGTGGAAATGATAATCAAGGGGTGGGTGCAATTGTAGTAGTAGGATACGATTTCGGAGGCTAGGTGTTTAGCCTGAAGGGGTGTGTTGTGGTGGCCATGTACCGATCACATGCCGTTGCCTGGTTTGCCAGGCTTCACCTAGCTATTTAGCTAGATCTCGATCGTTTATAGGAATCTAACCTTCTACATATCTCTCTCACCGCTACAAGATAACGCATGCGACGAAAATCACCGCTCTATTTATTATCAACTATTATAGCAACGCTGCTTCATGGAATAACTTAGAGACCAAGCAAAGTGTAATTCTTCATCGTAGACGGATGATATTACGTATCTTAGAATCAAAAGACATGTGCATATATGGTTAAGCGCAAAGATATATCTTGACCTGGGTTTCAACAAGAAAAGATTTCTGTTTCGCAATATACAATCTCCACCATCCAATTATCCCTTGCTTGTTACATTTTGCGGCACGTTTCGAAGCCCACACACGCGCCCGGACATGTAGGATAAACCAATGTAGTGTTGCATCATCAAAACTAATTTACCATTGTCCCTCAGCTTGTTTATATATTATACGTCATGCGTACTGGTGATAGTTTTGGGCTGACTTCTCCACTGTCTTTGAATCAGCCTGTATTCTGTATGCAGAATCACGCAACATGTTACGAGCTTGAGCTTCAGTTGAATGCGCCTACACAGCTATTACGATACTACTCAGGTTCGAACAGATTTACAGAACTTCGGTCGCTTCACTAAACAATATGAAAAAAAACCTGTTCCTCGCATCCGTGAAATTATTGTTCGACGATACATCAATTGTCTCGTCATTATGACCTCAGTTACAAAGGATCACCTGTAACCGTTATATTCCCACTCATTATCTAACTTGATCTATCAGCTCGATTAAAGTCTTACATTAGATTGATGTAAGCCAAGCAAATTTCACTACATATAAGAGCTATAATTCCGCTCCTAGATGTACTACTATCCAATCGCCGACTAATTCTTTTATCAAGCTTTGGAACAAATAACAGAAATATGTCTGCTTATGAAAGCAACCAGAGCTTTAAGCTCGACCATCTCTTCAACCTGAAGAACAAAGGTGAGTCACTAACAATATCAACTGTTCTTCCCTAGCGCTGGCGTTGCTGACATAGTGGGTAGTCGCTCTTGTCATAGGTGGAGGATCGGGCATCGGTCTGATGGCCACTCAAACCCTCGCCGTCAATGGTGCTAAGTGTCACGATTGGCACGTGTAGAACTCGTACCTTCCCGTTTGGGATTGTACCGTTAGTCGTTTGCGCAAGCAATTGTACCTTCCTTTATAGCTAAGCGAGGATAGGGCTTTGCCCCTAAAGGGGTATAAGGACCCATTTGTTATTTTACGTTTTGTTTTCTTTTCCTTTTTTCTTTATACTTAATATTTCGTTAGTAATATACTTCTTCTACTAAAGAGAACCCGGTATATAATATAATATTAAGTATTACCCTAAACCTAAACTTTCGAAGCTATATAACTATATAGATAATTATTACAATTGGTCCTAGTCCAGTTTTACCCTACCTATCCTAAAACTAACTAGAATAGGACTAGCTATAGTTCTACCATAATAGATTACTGCGATTAGTAAGGGAAAATAACCTATAGTATTGGATTATCTTATAGAAGAAGCTGTAAACCTTAAAACCCTAATTCCTACTAGAATATAGGACCTAATTAAAAGTATTAAATATAATAGCCCTAAGGAGGGTCCTTCGACTCCTTCTATCCGAGAGATTATATATATAACTCCTAGTAAGGAACAATTTATTAAGCTAGCTAATCGGTTCTAAATAGTTGAAGATAATAACTAGATAATATAAGATAAAATCTAAATCCTAATTATAAAGAATAGAAAGTCTAAGGAAGCTATTAAACGAATTATAGAGGAATATAATTAATTCTATATAGAAAGGGATTACCTTATAATAGAATATAACTAAGCTATAGAAGAATATAATAAGGCTACTACTTATAGAGATATTACTATATATAAGCGCGATAACCTTACCTACTGCCTTATTCTTACTTAGAGTAAAACGAACTAGGCCTAAAGTAATATACCGATTATAGGAGTTATTAACTAGAGATCTATAAAGATACCTAATATACTAATACTAAAGGATAGAAAGGAAGTCTATTTTAAAATATAGGAAATGGTTATTAGATAGAAACTTAAAGCGAATACTAATTACTACCTACTACTAGTTTACTAGAAGCTATATATATAAAGCTAATATAAAGGTAAAGTATAGCTATATATTACCCTATAAATAAGTATAACCTCTAATAACCTATATATCGATATAGAAGATATTATTATCTACCTTTATACTATCTTTATAAACCCGAATTATTATATAGAAGTATATATAGCCTACTATAAACTTAAGATAAAACCTAAGGAAGATTTCACTAACTTCTTAGCTAAATTTATATAACTTATAGAGGAAGCTATAGTTATTAAAGAAAACTATAAGTATAACCTATATTCGAAACTTCTATATCTATTATAGAGCTAAGTTATATAGGCTATTAATTAGGAAATGGTTCCTTTTAATACCTTTACCTAGAGTTATTAGAGTATATCCTATAAGATTAGTCTCTAATAGGAAGTAAAGGGTACTATATATACCTATATAATAACTACGTTTAGAAGTAGAGCTAGGACT